AAGTTGGTTTCCCAGTGATCAAATACCACACCCCACTACCTTGGCCCACCCGAAAAGAGAAAAAGATAGCCACCAAACCACCAAACCGTTCCATCTGTGGATCAACCCCTTCCATCAGATTATATGTGGCGATCATGTTGGTGCAACGCACCTCTGTATCTCCACCATTGCCACGAAGAGGTAAAGACTTGTGCTCACGTCGCTGCATCTTCCCGTGTGGTGAGCGACAGTAACTGGATGCGACTTCAGCTGAAAGTAAAAGAAACATATGTAACAAAATAAATACATACTGAAAGTGACAGAAAAACAAGAAAACATAGGGACAAAAATAAAAAGAACTATTGAAAGAAAACATCAAATAAATAGTAGAAACAAGAAACAAACAATAGTCATAGCCATAGTAAAAGAAATAAAGAACATCATAATAGTAATTGTAAACGTACGTAATTATAAAACAAGAAGAGTAAGATTTTATTTAAAAGTAGAAACAAGAATAGTAGTAATATTAAAGAAAATAGTGATGGAAATACTAGTACTAGTACTAGTGCTAGTAGTAATAGTAGTAAAAGTAGTAGTAGTAGTAGTAGTAGCAGTAGTCGAAGTAGTAGTAGTAGTAGTAGCAGTAATCGTAGTAGTAGCAGTAGTCGTAGTAGTAGTAGTAGTAGCAGTAATCGTAGTAGTAGCAGTAGTAGCAGTAGTCGTAGTAGTAGTAGTAGTAGTAGTAGTAGTAGTAGTAGTAGTAACCTCATTTAGGGGGGTTGACAGATTTGGTGACCTAATTCTTTTGTTTCTGATCAGCCCACCTGCAATTTTGGAATCAAACAGCAACATTGTGCACCCGTCCACTTTTTGCAAGATCTCGCACTATTCCACAACGGGCTTCATCTCACCGAAGGTGTCTTGGTCGTTCTTCAAAATGATCCAGCCAAACCTCCAGCTTGTAGGAATCATCCACTTCCAGAACACCTCAGCACTGACAATATCTGACAGTGCCTTGAAATTTATAGCTGACTTGCCCATTAGCAGGCTATTTATATAGAGACAATTATGATGATTTATAGATTATTTTATAGATGATTTCCCATGGGAAATACCGGCGGCTCCTCTCGCGAGATACCGCCATCAGCATTGGCGTCGAAGGTCTTCCATAACCTAAATGAAACCAGCCAGGCGAAACGGTTTTTAAGCCTGCTGAATCAGCATGGCTCGATTTTTTAGTAAGAAATACCACACATAGGTCATTTTTTTAAATGACAATATATGCTGAGACTCTTGAGAGATTCGAAAAAAACAAATCATGTGAAGATCTCCAGATCGACGACCACGGATTCCCAGGCCACCCCACTGCAGCAAATCCACTTCCTTCAACGATGGCCTCAGCTTTTTTGAGGTGAAATCACTGAAATTATGGTCATTTTTTTGGGTTTAAACCTAGTCTATCCTAGTCTTAATATGTCGTAATACTTTTTTTTGGGGGGAGTCAACGAATCATAGTCATCCAGGATGTTACTTTCAAACATGGGGTGAAAAACTTTGAGTTGCTGCAACCAGCCAGAATATACAATGGCATTAAACCAATAAACATGAACATATATATATATGTGTGTATTATATAATATATAAATTTGAGTATCGTTGGGAATCTCTCTTCAGTAAATTCATGGTTTCAAAACATATGAGGGACGGTATTTTTGGGGATAAAAAGCGGAGGTGTGATTTGAATCATACTCCCAGGCACGTTGGATGAATGCGCTCTATCTTTCCTTGGTCAACTGGTCAACCGGGTCAAACATAGCTTGCTGGTTTAATCCCGCGTTCTTGCTGGTTAAAATCCAATGTCCAATTTTCAATGTTCACTGCTTTAAATCCAATTGCCAAATTTGTGTTAAGGTTCAAATCTTGATGTTTGCGATCACACCCAGACAATAGATACTCTTGGTTCTATGTGTACATATCAGTCAGTGTATCCCTACTACCTCCCCGTGATGTTCCCACTATGTAAACTCCGGCTCATTTTACTATAGGTCTCCAACTTTGCCCAAAACATATTAAACCAGTGCGTTTCTTTATGCCTCAAACCCCTTTTGGTTGCTTGGGGATGCATCCCAGTCAATAAATGGTTTTATGACTATAGAATCTATAACCATATGTAACCCGTGATATTTCCATAGAAAGCTGGCATATACTTGGTGGCTCATCTTAGTGGATTAGTTCACCCCAGTTATTTCAGTGGGATAAGTTTGTAGGGTCAATCCACCTATAACGACGGCTATATATGAGTGAATTTTAAGTGATACCAGGTATAAGTTATAACCAGCCATAAATATATCATGGCTATATAAGTTATATTAGTGATATATGGCTGTGTGTCAAAACCTTGTACCCCTTCTGTTCACATCAAAATAGCTGGGATTTATGGATGTTCATCCCACTAAAACTGCTATTAATAGGTATTGATTCATAGCCATATGCTCAATGTATGGAATATTTACCTACATTTACCCAACAAATGGCCCAGTCTTGTAGGTAAATATGGGATATTATATTAGTGATATATGGCTGTATATAACCTACTGGGCCAAGCAGAGCCAAGCAGGGTACCTCCTGTGCTCCTGCTGCCCGGTCCCGAGGGTCCCGAGGGTCCCGAGCTCCAGCTGCGCAAAGAAGTCCCGGAAGTCCGGCCAGCGCACCTCCATCCGCCCTGCAGCCTGGGCATGGTTCAACCACTGGTGGGGCCCTGGGGGGGTCCATAAATGGTACCCCCCAAAAAAATGGATAGAGTATGATGAAATATGGCTATTGGTCAAAACATGTCAAAACCCTGGCACCTAGTGAACCCCAAAATAGCTGGTAAATGGATGTTCATCCCATTAGAATTGATAATAATAGGTTTTGACCCACCCCCATATTATGATGAATCATCAATGCCAGTTTTTTGAATGGATGATAATGGATGATTTGGGGGTACCTGTTATGACGTAGGAAACCTCCATATGGAGGGTTTTCCATGGTTTTCCTACATCATTAGGGGTACCCCAAATCATGACTTAGTCATGGATGGCCATGACTTAGTATAGGAGTCCCACCCATGGTGACGACTGGGGATCCCCCGTGCCTTTTCAGAAACCACCATGTCTAAGGGCGCACGGATTTTACAAGTGATACTGGGGACTCAACCAATGAACATGCGGATTTTGACCACCAAACATCTAAATGGAACAAGCAAACATAATGGACACCGCCCACAAAAGCTCGGGGTTGACGAGCAAAAACAGGACTTAAACAGCAACACTATTACCCATTCAAATTTGGCGATTCAAGTCACAAAAACAAAATGGGAGATGGTCATTTGTTCATGAGCAAATACAATAGTAAGGGGCGTTGACCACCAAAGTTAGGATGCTCTCCAAGAGAGTTTGGTGGATTTAGTACCAAAAAGAACGGTAAACACCAAAATGTGAGTATGTATTCGAAAAGAAATGGAATATCAACAAACAGACTGTAGACTATGTGAACTGCAACCCAGCAAATGGACATGGCCAGTATCGCCGATAGACTCAAATCGATTAAGTCAACAGTCAACCCGAGTTTCGGTCACAGTTCTGAGGAGTTTGAGTCGGTCCCAGGATGTCCCAGGACATTGAGGCTTGTATGACATCTTGGAAAGAAACTCGCTAGTTCAATGGAAACAAACATGAAAGAACCACACGAAACTCTATTTGTGTTGCAGGTTTTAACATGGATTTCTAGGAATTCTCTCTCACTGTTCCTTCCAAGTCCGGAAACTCACAAATCTACAAGGTGGGGCCCCCCAGTTATAAGATGGTTTATAAACCCCATTAACTATAGTTATAGGTACCATAAACCATAATTATTGGAGTTATAAACCAACTTAGCTATCTTGGGGGCCCCACATTGTACCATTCAGGTGTGTAGCGCCAAATTGCAATTCCTATACAGAAAATGAATGATGATCAACCAGTGGATTTAGAACCTTGGGAGTACCATATTTTCAGACCAACCTATTTTCAGACCAACCAATCTATGAACGAAACATCTCCAAAAACCTTAGGCCCCTGCCAGTGCGTCAAAGAGTTTGTCCACCGTTTGGCCCTGGCGCTGTGAACCCCAAGGCAGTTTTTTGGAAGCATCCAAAGAGTCTGCTGTGTCCAGCAGAAAGTGTGAAACGGATTGAAAAGGTTGGGCAAACTAGCAAACAATAAAACAAACAAAGGCAAATACAAACAAATCAAACATAGACAAAAAGCAACTAGACAATCAAAAAAATGGAAAACCATGGAAAACACACACAATGGCAGTGGAACACGAGATGTAGCGATACAAGTTCTTGTCAATTGTCTAAACCGTGCATGTGCACCAAACACACATCAAACACCCACACACAGATACAGATATACGTCAAAACTTGAACATTTTAAGACCCTCAATGACCCTCAGACCCTCAAATTTGTTGATCACTTCATTACAGTATAGTACACCATTCACTACCCGAGGACTCGACAAATGCCAGCTCTTGAAGCTTGGGCTTCCACTGATGACTCAGGTGACTTTGATCAACCAATCGGAGAAGATGACCTTCCAAAACTAGGATTCCAGCTTTTTTTCTCGCTACCGCTACCTGTTTTGCCCTGTTCGAAGTGCACTGGGTCTCCAATTTCCCACCGGTGCTTTGCCGTGGCTCATCTCTGGAAACCTTGACGTGCCTTGATGTGCCTTGAGCAGATTCCCCAGGCACCATCCATCACATTCAAAAAAAAAGTATGCCAACAGATCCACAGGTGGCTAGTGATTTTTGAAAATTGTTAAACTATATCTAATTTACATCTTCAGGACTAGTGGATGGTAGCCTGGTGAACCGTTGAAGCTATCCAAAATAATTGACTCATGCCTGGTGGTGTCAACATTTCAACCTGAAAATCTCGTGACATTATCAATCAAAATCATTTTCAACAGCTGGAATAGGATACGAAAAATGATTCAGCAACACCAACCAAACATCTACTGGATTACTTTGTCCAGGTAAAATCAACATGAAAGCATGGTTTGATCATCCAAACATGAAGTTCTTCTGCATATTTTTTCCGAAAAAAAACAGGTAAACAAGCGACTACGCATCGCCCTGCTATGCCTTGTCACTTTGTACAACTGAGGACTTTGCCAGTGATGCTTTGGACAACGGTGACTTCTTGCTGAAAAACACCCGATGGATACCGAAGATCGCTCGGATCGCCATCATGACATTCAAACTCCACCTGCGACTGGATCGGTACTGGAAAATTTGTGGTGCGAAAAGGGTAAAGTTCAACACCAGTGACTACCTCTACTCATTTAGTGAATATACCATGTGTTGGTTGAGTTTGGAGTCTGCGATCTTTGGACATACGAACGGAACAATTACAATCATTTACAATCAACAAGACTGCTCGTATGCGCAGTTATCGCGGGTACTGATGGTACTGTAGAACAGATGGTGATATATTTAATATTGATAATATAAGCCATTGGGAGTGAACACCATGGAGTATGCACTGGAAACCTCATCGCAATGGAACAAGTCAGCAAACATCTTCCCTTGATTGCAACCTACATACACATCATACACAATCATACACATAGTATGTTCATCTCAATAGTAGATACTAGAACACGATATGGACCAATGACATTGAGTATCATTAGTTCACCCCTGTGAAAACAAAGTTCTACCGCAGACTGCCAGCTAGTCCAGGTGCAAGCATCAAAGTGGAGAAACACCGTGGAACTGGATTTGCCAATGGCCGAGAAAAATATCATCCCCCTAATATGAAAAGCACCAGCCAGAAACCATGGTGGCTGTGGGGGATGAAATCACATGTTTTTTGGGCTCATACATTGTTGGTGGTTAATATATTTTAAATTTACCCTCCGGTAAATTAACATAGACCCTGGCAGATAGGGGTTGGAAAACGAGTTTTCATTAAACATTAGTGATTTTCAGGGTCTATGTTAATTTGCTGGAGGGTAAATATTACGCTAGGGTAGGGGGCCTGGGATTATAAGAGATGTCGCTTCAAACTACATAGTTCGTACATTCGTACATGGCCACACGGTGCATGAAGCGTTTTTCAGCTCATCTGGTTGGCTCACAATGGAACACAAATGTCCAATGGACACTGATACCCTTAAAGAGAGGAGTAGGACAATCATGGTATGGAAAGTGAAACGAAATACCAGGCCGGGATCAAACTGGATCAAAGCCACACCCAAAACATGGGTTATCCATGGTTGTCCCTCTTGATCCCCCATGTTTGTTGGTAAACAACGGCTTGGTTCTGGTTCTTGGTAGCCTAGACTCCTAGACCGCCACGAGAGACCTCCACCATGACCGGTGGTTTTCCTGCCCCGAGGCACCAGATATGGGAAGCCGTGGGTTGCATCAGCGTGGAGAAGAGCAACATGAAGATCCCAGCCGATGCGGCTGCGCAAGTGGTGCACCTCGCTGCGGTGTCATATCATCCATGGGAGATCTGAAGCCATGCTGACACAGAGATAGGGTAACTCTCTGGTTTTGGATGGCTATGTGTTGAACATCAGAGAGGGTAACAGATTAGATGGTTATCACAATTGTCACCATATGGTTATCACAATTATCATGTGTCAACATATGGTGACACTGCATATGGATAACATAGGATGGCTATCCAAAGATGACACTAACTGCACTGGCACACAGCTTTCCTTTATTTTCAAAGCCGAATGATTTAGCAATTTCTCAAGATTAGGATCATCCAAACTGGAGGTTGAACGGTTTAGCAAACATGCGCATGAGTTTGGGTCCTCCAAATTCTAGGAAACCACGGCCGGGGAATTGATCTGTATTCCTGAACAGGATTCTGAAGAAGGGATACACGATCAAATGATTCGCCCTTTTCTAGTTTCAATCCCACATTGTCTGGAAAGGAATCATTTGCAAACAATGTTCTTCCCTTTGTTTGCTTGCTCTCCATTCTGGGTAAGGTCAAAACAACGGACCCGAGGTACCCGATGGGTCATAGCTGGTTTTCATGGATGGTTATTCCCCCAAATATGAGAATAATAGGTTTTGACCCATCCCCATATATATATAATATTGGAATATATTGGATAGTATAACATGTAGAACCCGTTTGAATTCCTACAACTGACAGTCCTTGGGAGGAAAAAAGGATGGGAACACGTTCAACAAGATACGAAACAAAGTACAGTGGTTCTTCCACTACTGCACATTATAAGTTGGGATCAAATTAAGTTCGACAGGTTCACTTCATTCATTAGCAACAACAAGGTGGTGCCCCCCCAGTTATAAGTTGGTTTATAACTACATCAAGTGTATACCATAAAGCCGACAGTCACTGATAAACCAATTTTTGCCAGCATGACTTGATGACAGCTCCATATAATTCCAAAGACAACCAATATACCCTCTGGTAAACCAACATAGCTATTGAAAATGAGTTTACCCATTGAAAGTGGTGATTTTCAATTTTTCCATAGTTATGTTAGTTTACGAGAGGGTAAATCCTCACTTTTCGTGGTAATTTCATGTAAATCCACACTTTTGGTGGGAACCTGTCATAGAACTTGTCAGGAGGCTTCGCGACCCATACATATTCTCCAAAGCCATACAGCACTCCATCTGCCACCCACATAGCGCCTGGCAAACACTTGGGGCGGTGGGAATATACTGGGAATGTAGAATGGACATATAATGGTGATTATATTTTGGTGATAAGTATGGTGATAACCACATGGGAATATATAGAATGGTTCTGAAAAACACATTCTATAGAATGTGTAGAATGTGTATATATAGAATGGTTATCGCAATTGTCACCATATGCAGTGGGAATAGTAGGTCGAACTATGGTGATGACCTGCAAAAGTTAGGGGGAAAACACATAACTATGGGGAAAATTCTTGAATCTATGCAAAAATGGCAACTGGAGACTTGAAATTGTGTTTTGCAGACTTCGGCACAAAGAACTAATTATGGTGATTCAAATCTGATCTGAGTAGTGTATCGCTGATTAAGACAAGAAGTCTTCTCACCAAAACTAAAACATGTACCCCTGGTAACCAAACATGGCAAGTGAACATCCACCATTTGTAGATGTTTTTCCCGTTGAAACCATCAGCTGTGTCAGTTACGTCCCCAGTCATTGTGAAATCTTGCTGATCAACTCCGGCAGGTGCTTGATTGTAAATCCTCCATAACAAGTCCATATAAGCGCATAAAAAACCAATCGATCTCCTATATATATATATTGCCATATATATAACCACATACACCATATGTATGTATATATATACACATATATGTAATATAATATAATTATATATGTACATTAAAATCCCCTATAAATCCTGATCTTGGTCGGCAAATTCTCTGGAATTCCATCATTTTTTTCCATCCAAGGCGCCATAGATCAGCAACATGACCATCGCTGGTGGCACCAAAGTTTCGAAGGCTGCAGTCACTGAGGGGTCCCTCACCAGCCTAGACAGTGTTTTTTTGTATAATGTGGTACGTTACATCATTAATCTGGTATATAGTAAAATAATATAGTATAATATCATATATATATGGTACATACTCTGATTGTGTATATATATATATAATGTGGTATATCATTCTTCTCTAGGGGACATTCCTTGTAGGGACGCTCAACATTCCTGTTCTTTGAGTTTAATTCCAAATCATTCAATTTCGTTCCAAATAATTCCGTTTTATTCCAAAAAACATATGTCATTCCAAATAATTAGGGTTCATTCATATTTTTTAGGTTATTTTAAATAAGTACTGAAATATATTTGGATAATTTTAAAATTGTTTTCCGGATTTTGTGTGTGTGATTTATTTTTATGTTCTTTCCTTTTTTTTCGCTGTTTTTGTTGATGTTGTTTTGGTTTCTATTTTTGTTGTCTGTTTGTTTTAATTATTTTTCATTTTTTTGAACTTGTGTGAGTTCTTTTGACCTTTTTGTTGTTGTTGTTTGACATTAGTTTGTTGTTGTTTTTTATTATATTTTTGTTTGAACTGTTTTGATTTGTTTTGGATATGTTTTTTTTGAATTTGCTTTTCATTTGTTTTGTTTTTTTTTTGGAATGTTTTCTTGATTTTTTGAAATTTTTTTATTTTTCATATGTTTTTAAAGGATAACAACTTTTAGGAGTGGCCCTGTTAGGAGTAGCCCAGGGCTCTTTAATGAATCATAGCATAGTCTAGTACAATATCATACATATATATATATATACATAGTACATAATCTGATGGTATATATAAATATATTACACAATGGTAATAGATGGTAATAGTATAGTATAATAATGTAGAAAATAATATAACATAATAGTTATATAATCGTAATGATAAAGTAAATAAACATATCTGGTGGTGAATAATATGATGGTGAAAAATATAATATAACATATCTGGTGGTGAATAATATGATAAAGTAAACACAATGTGGTAAAACCAATGTCATAAACCATCCCCAATTCATCGCCATTCTTATAGTTGAAATTCCATGTTAGCCTTAAATCAAACCTATGACTATGACCGAATCTGTCGTTGAGGCACGGTACAGCCAACGAAAAGTGGGCACATGTGCATGAACCTAGGGATGTAGCGTGTTTGAAATGAACAACAACATCTTGCCTGGCATATACCAGTAGCCAAAAACAATCAAAAACAACAATATTTTGGTGGTTCAAAGGAACCACATATTCGGCTGATTACTCATGAGTTTTTCATAATATATAACATGGATGTGACATATTGTAACATGATGCTTCACCACATTTCAAAGTTGACCAACTGTTGAATAATCTCTGAAGTGAATGATTTACCATGATGTTCCATACAATTAATGATGATACCATGATTTTCCATGATTTTACAATGATTTTCCACATAGCTACAGTATTTACCATGATTCTACTATGAAATTACCATGAGTTTGCCAGGATTCACCACCATTTTCCACCTTTCAACGTGTCCGTGCCACGTGCCACGTAACGTGTTGGCGATGGAGTCCCTTCCAACCCACAGCGCGAAGGCCGTAGCGACCGCCACCACCATGCCCATCCGCGTGGCGCGCAGCGCCGTCCAACGCGCGCGCTTCGGTTTCTGCTGCGCTAAGTCGGCAGAGACGAGAACTTGGGAGGAGAGCTGGAAGCCGTACAACAAGTACCTTAGCAATAATTAATTGGGACTAATTGGGATAATAATTGGGACTAATTGGGATAATAATTGGGATAATTGGGATAATAATTGGGATAATTGGGATAATAGTTGGGACTAATTGGGATTGGGACTAATTGGGATAATAATTGGGATAATTGGCACTAATTGGGATAATAATTGGGAAAATTGGGATAATAATTGGGATACAATTGAGATAATAATTGGGATACAATTGGGATAATTGGGATACAATAATAAATGGGAATGATAATGGGATATCACAATTTAATAGTGGGATTTAACTGGAGCAATAGTGGGATTAGAATCCGATATAACACTAGTTGATCGGATCAATTTTGATAGGATATAATTATACTATAATGACAATGGGATATAACAATAGTTAATGATAGTATAGTAAATGATAGAATGATAGAATGATATGACAAGTAAGCTGCAAGCAACTTAAGCATTCAGGAATGGGATACAGTTGAAAGGCGGTGCCCCAGAAAAACTGAGCTCAGTTCGTTGAGATAGGCGTTCACATTTTGGGGTTTATGGTAGATAAAGCGAACTACAGGAGAATGATATGGACAAGATATGACAAGTACCTTAGCAGATGGGACACAATTGGGATCGAATGGGGTTCGAAGGTAGCTAATGATGACAATATGTAATGAACGCCTTTATCGAATTTATTGTTACACAAGCAATATTTATCTCACCAATTCATGTTTTTTGCTTGGCATACGACGGGATGTAAGAATTATGGTATCATAATTGGATATCAAGGTTGATAGGTACTCATAATGTAATACAATGGAATCTAATGGGATGCGATGGTATGCAATGGAAATAGAATAGGACTTTTCATGGGATATAATGGAATATGATGGAATATCATGTAGTAGAATTGAGCAGCATGGGATGGGATGGTTTCCTAAAGTCATGTGGGACATCATGTTAACATTGAAGTTATTGGTCACGAAGTGGAAGCCACTGGTGAAAAAAAGGGTACCCCTGGTGGGAAATAGCCATAGCATATGGGGAAACATCTTCTTTCGAATCTTGGAAAAATCCAAACAAGGAGAGTAAACCCAATAAGCCATCCCTAAAATCACCATGGGTAGTAAAACCCATCCCCAAATGGTGGGATTGGGTTGCCCACATTAAGCCAATTTTGATATGACATCTGGAGAAACTATAAGTTTGACAAATGGCTATCTGAGGAATCTGGCCATGGACTTCGGAGGAGCTGTGCCAAATTGTGACATACCAAACCCTAGCGACGAGTTCGTCATGTTGAGACTTTCAGGTTGATATGCACTATCTTATATGCGCCATTTCCTGTTTTTTTTGACCCAAAGCCTCTATGTATAAAAAACATATAAAACTATTAAACAAATAATCATGCATACCATAGTATGGCTATATACCAACATACAAACAACTATGGAACATCACCATTTTTAATGGGTAAATCAACCATTTTGATGGGCCATTTTCAATAGCTTTTTGTATGTTTACCAGAGGGTACATACCAACTTTCCGGCAGTGCCCATCGCTGTCGAGGCCACAGGAAGGACAGGAAGGTTTTGGTCATACAGGTGTGAGCTGCCAACGGCGCTACGCCAATCTTTGTGATGATGCCACACGCAACCAACCTCGGCTTTGAATGCCCTAATGGATGATTAATGGTTGGCTAATAGATGGTTAATGGATGTTAATGGATGACTAATGGATGGCTAATAGATGGTTAATGGATGACTAATGGATGGTTCATGGATGACTAATGGATGGTTCATGGATGGCAAACGAAACCATTCTGGGTGACTGAAGCTAGTGGTTCAGTGGCGGAGCTACCCATCCCAAATCCCAAACTGGACACACGTCGCCAGATTTAAAGCAGCTTAAAGCCACCAGACAGGACTGGATGCACAAACATTCGGCTGTGAGCCATGCATCTCCAAACATAGAACCAAATTTCGAATTGTATACCATCAACTGGAGTTCATCCTTCCAGCTGAGTTGGTTCTTAAGGAAGTCTGTTCCAGCTCAGTATACTTAGTTATTTTTTGTAGAGGCTTGAAACTGCGTAGTGATATGAAACAGGTTGAACCATAGGGGCAGTGTTGGGCAAGTAGCATAACGAGAGACTTCAGCCAGAGGTCATTTTATGGTGCTGTAAAGATGGTACATTTTATTTATGGTGTCTTGGATGTGTCTTGGAGATGGAATCTGCCTTTGCATTTTAGGTTGATGATTATATGTATATATATATATATACATTTGTATAATCATGTTTCAAGATTTTATTGATCATAAACACATATATATATATATCATTGCATGGAGTCACTTGCACAAATGCCAGAAAACATACTCTTTGCAGCTGTGGCCACTACTGTGTTCCATCGATGGTGAACTTTAGTGGCCCTGAAATAAAGCAGCATATGGTACCCAAAATGGATGGTTTATAAAGGAAATTCCCATGAAAATGTATGATTTGGAGTGTATTAAACAGTGTGCTATTGAAAATGGCCCATCAAAATAGTTGATTTACCTATCTATAGATGGTGATTTTCCATAGCGAACTGTAAATGTTTACCAGAGGGTAACATAATGGAACATCATGAAAACAATGGAAAAAGGGAGGACCAAGAAACGTGTACAAGATCTTTCAATGCAGAGAAACTACCATCACACCTGGTGGGAAGTCAACCCGAGAAACCAGGTGGTCAACGAAGAGAAACTCCTGGCAGTCATTGCTGCATTCGCCTCAGAAAAAAGAGAAACATCCACCCATCTAGTCAGGATGGCAAGCCTGCAAGACCATAAATGTCTGTAATGAATTGAAGATCAAGTTAAAATCCATTGGTGTAATGAATTGGGATGTTTTTCAGCTGGAAAATGGAGTCACGAAATGCCAGCCTCTGGTCTCCAGGCTTGGGGTATGTCTTGGCATGCCAAGATTGCTGTCTTCAACAAAGCCACCACGTGTGCAACTCTCAGACCTAAAAGCAAACTTGTTACTCTGGTTGGTGGTTTCAGCCCCTCTGAAAAATATTAGTCAGTTGGTGGTTACTATTCCCAATATATGGATAAATAAAAAATGTTCCAAACCACCAACCAGTACTGTCATTTGGAGACTTTCGATGGCGTTCGATGCACCAATTGAAATAATCCTCAAATCCAGTCAATCTATATAGTTTGCGGCTCCAGAAGAATTTGACAAAAGGTGCCTTAATCTTAGCGTGGCCAAAGTTCAAGACTCCCAACCCATTCTTAGGATTGACAAGACATGGGCCTACGTGAAAATAGGGTATATAGACCCCCAAATGCGATGGTTTGGTTTGTCATGTTTGTCATCATTTTCAACATATCTTTGAGGTACCTAATTCTGGGCAAACCCATTTATATACTACTCATGGATGCCCAATCTGTTGATCTTATCCGAATGATTTATGATATTATTGCTATTTTTATTATCATTATAATTACTTGCCATGGAAATGCAAAGGGGACAAAATGTACCATAGCTATGGCTAGCTATACGAGAGGCTAACCCTGCCAAAATCAACAGTTCCCCAAGGGCGGCTCAGCGGCTGCCAACCACTTCATCCATCCTGAGAAGACTGTGCCGGAAATAGTTTCCAAATATAGGAAACTCATATTCCCATACAACAAATGAAGCAGGTTGAAGTATGTTTGAGCAAAATACCAATATCATATATACGTGTATATATATACTGCATATACCAATGATAGCAACACTCTAAACCATCGCAAATCTATGCAAATCTGCTAAGTTGGGGTCATATTTACCAACACGTATGCAATATTGGCACCCAACATGTCTATTGAAATGGCATTATGACGACTAGTATTACAAGTATACATGGAGAACAATATGGGAATACTGAGAGCCCTGACTTGATCGTCAAAGGTGGCAATGACAAATCCCCCATGGCTTTATCTTCCTAGTAAAGAAAACCTCCATTTGTAGAGGATTTCTCAGTCATGTTTGATTACCAAAGGGTACCCATGAATGGACTCGACCATGCTAACCGTTGATGGATACCACGAGTCATATGGTCATTTGAGGCCTATTTAATGCGGGTTTCTCTAGCCTATTATCACTATTATCATTATAGATTTCAGTAATACTTGGAATCTTATCTAAGACTTTGATTATTGGAACAGTGATTGCCAGTCTTAATATCAACAACTGTTAATCACTATTAATCACAATTTACCACTATGTATTACTAGTATACTAATATAGTCACCATTATAGTTTCCATTAACACTACTAATAGTCCAAGTCACTATTACGATATATATTAAGTACTACTATATCAAAGATCACTATCTTACTACTATATTGCTACTATTGTAGTGACCATTTTTACATGCTTGTATCAATGATTCCTACTACATATGTATATACACATACATATATCATCCAGTATTTATTATTTATTACTATTACTATCATAATAGATAGTGATTACACGTGGTTCATTCATTGTGATCGTGATCCAGTTGATCACTATTTATGAGTATTCGCCCTCCGACCCTGATTTACAACTATCAATATTATGTACTATTCAGAGTCCAAGTTGCACATTACTTTTGATAGATATTGATAGCTACTATTTATAATTACTAAAGTACCATTCATCACCTTTTATTACTACTGTAATCATTATTACTATTAATTACTACTATTGATCCATTATCAAAGGTTACTAATTAATTACTTATTATTCCTACTGTAGTCACTATTACTACTGTCATTATTACTAGCATTATTACTATCAGTTTCTACTGTAGTCACTATTACCTATCATTCTTACTATCAACTACTACATATTACTATCAATTACTAAATATTGCTAAAGTACTATTACTATCAATTACTATCACTTACAGTACTATTCATCGCTATTTATCCAACGTGTTTTTTTTCCAAGTCTCCTTTAGACTCCTCGGCTTTGCGCAACAGCAGCGCCCTCGCCGCCAGCTGCCGCAGCGGCGGCAGCCAGGGCCCTCCGGGCCGCCGCGCGACAGTGAACCACGCGGCTGCAGCGGAACAGTAGCAGGCAAAGGTCGTCGCCCAGGCGGCACCTAATGGCTTTTATATGGAATTTATATGGGATATATATATATATACATAATATCTGGGTAAATTATAATATTGCACTAACCTGAATTAAGGCCATTTGGGGATGATTTCCCTTATTAACCATGGTCCCAGTGAGGTCGTTATAATTTACCCAGATAATATGGGTTTGTGTGGGTTTATATGGAATTACACTTGGTGGCTCATCCCAGGAATCGTAAGTGGATTAGTTCACCCAACTTTTTTCAGTGGGATAAGTAGGCTTAATCCACCTATAAGTAGGGTGAACTAACCCACTTACAAAGTGGGATGAACCACCATGTATGGGATGGGATAGCTATGGGATAGGGAAGTCCCGAAAAATGTGGGAAACACCTGGGAAACATATAGGAAACATATGAGAAAAGGTGTGAAACATAGTGGAATATATGGAGCATTGTTGCAGAACCTGTGGGAAAACAATTAATATGGAAACAAAAATCGGAATTTGTGAGTGGCTAGCCAATCTTAACTTTAAGACTATGAAACATTGCTTACACAAATTGGACAATTGGAAAAATCTAGAGTACATGAGAAGTGGTTGATTACTAAGGTTACAAGTGGGTGATATCAATTTGTAAGCAGGCCTAAAGGAATCTTTATTGTAACCCTCTGGTTTCACTACAATGAAAATCAAGACACTGCGGAAGTATTCATGAATAGAATGTTGATTTTGTTGGTATGTTTGCTGGATTATAACATGACAATATTATAACCAACAAAATGACATTGGATGGGTACTCGGCACCGTATCACCTTTTCTTTGGGAATGATATAAGCATGATTCTAATGACTGGGGGTTTATCTCACATAGAGCTGGCTTCTAACATACTTATGATCCACATACAACTGGGATGGGTACAGTAAGGGCGAAACCATTGGAATGGGTCTGGGATTTGCATCTTGTGATCATTACCAAATGTGTGTATGTCAACAATGTACAGACCTAAATATGTAATTGGAATGTGTAGATGTTGCATGGGCATTGAACCTTATGGTTGTTGGTTTTAGAAGCATACCTATAATTTCGATATTTCGCTTCCCCCAAAAAAAGATAGAATAGTTTTTCAAGGATGGTAAAGATGAAGTACCCCATCATTCTCACATATCTAACTGTTCTATCTATTTTGGGGTTGCCATAATTAATGTTATGTCAGTTATCAACCAATGAACATCAATTTGCTGTCGAAATCTTCCATTTCTTCAGTGATTTGGCAGTGTGTCAAAACCTTGTACCCCTGTAGTTCACATCAAAATAGCTGGTAAATGGATGTTCATCCCATTAGAATTGATAATAATAGGTTTTGACCCACCTCCATTTCAGTGGTTAAACCCCAAAGATTGAGGCACCACGCCGCCCCACCTGCTGTCCCGCCCTTCAACAGCACCACCGCCAGCGGCGTCAGCACCGCATTGATCCCTGCTCCCAGCAGCACCAGCCGCAGCACCGCTCCGGTGTCGCGAAAGGCGCCCGACAGCGTGGCTTGCAGCACCTCAAAACACGTCGTGACCTGGGAGGGTTCCCCGTTTTTCATGGCTTTTTCCATGTTTTTCTGAACAGTTATGACGATTTGTGGATGGTTTTCGGCATTATTCATCATCTTCCCGTGATCTTGGGGATATAGTTCTGCATGAACTTGGTATATTAGATGGTATATGGCCATGATTACTTGGGTATACCTCAATGTGTGGCAATTGTCATGGTGCAAATTAAGGTTTTAACATGTTACAAATATGTTTAAACCGTCAAAGCTATTCAAATCTGGTGTTTTTCCCTAAGAAATCAGCGGGTCTAGTTCCATGATTGAGTTTATAATTAATACATAGTATAATTATAGGATATTCAAGAGGTCATCTCCAAATTTCTGGGGGGGATTTCACCAAGGTTAATACCAAAGTAAATGGTGGTTCACCCCGGTGAACCACCATGTCATACCCACAAAGATGGAGGATCCACCAATTTTTTGAGGCGGTTTTTAGGCCACAGTATTTTTCAATGCAAACATGAAGGATACAAGAAACAGTAGATCAATAGATATGACTCACTCTCGGATTTCTTGGTCAACTTGACTGGGGAATTGACTGATTTTCAATCCACAGAAATTGGAGATCTTTTCCCAGTTGTGAACAACTTGCAATGCTAAAGGTTCCCTACTGAACATAGACGTTTTCCTTATCCTAGTTCAAGAAACAACATGGTCTTCAGATAATATGGACAGCCATTGGGATTCTCACGCCTCAAATTCGGACCTCAATCCCAATCTGCCAGTGGTATACGGAACTTGCCTACAATATCCTACAATGGGGGTACCCCAATGGCTAGATGATCACTGGGGGTACCCCCAGCCATTAGGAAACCTCCGACTCCAATCTGCAGTTTCCAGAGCCTTGGTCCCCATTGGATGCTCCACAGGTCGTGAGCCCAATCATCTTACCCTCTGGTAATTTAACATAGCTATTGAAAATGGCCATAGAAATAGTGGATTTTCCCATTAAAAATGGTGGATCTTTCCATAGTTTTTTGTATGTTTACCAGAGGGTAGATACCCTGCAGTTATTTTGTTAGTTAGCGTATAGATTCATCAATGTAATTATCCCCTCATATCCCCATGTGTAGACAAATACAACAAAATACTGCACCACTAAAGCTCTCCATCAGCATCCGAGGTATCCCCACATGTGATACTAATCCCATCCCCCTTATATAAAACAGTCCCATTGCATGGTCCAATTATGTGGTATAATCTATATATACAGTAAACCATGGTGTCTGGAGTCTACAAGGTGGTGCCCCCCCAGTTATAAGTTGGTTTATAAGTATAGATATATCTACCATAAACCCAAGTGATTGGAGTTATTTGCACCAACTTAGCTAACTATGGGGCACCACCTTATAGAGAGTTTTACTCTCAGGAAGGATACCCCCTGCCGCCCTGGCACGATCAACGACAACAAACCTGGAGTTCCCCAGAGACGTGGCACCTTAGGGCACCTAAGGTGCCTGACATGTTGGGGAAAACCTGTAGGAAACCTCAAAAACCAGGGTTTCCCGCCGAGATGTTTCCTTAAAAACCAATAATCATTGAGTCAAACATCTGGAAATGAATCCATAAAGATATACCCTTTGGTTATTTAACATAGCCATGGAACATGGCCACTTTATAGATGGTTTACCTATTAAAACATGTGATTTTCTATAGCTAATCAAGCATGATGCCCCCTGTTGCTGATGGCATACCCATCGATTCTTGGGGTAATAAATGTGGGGTGCTATAGTTTTTGGACTACTTGATGACCAAAACCACAGCAGAGTTCAGATTTGTTCTAGTCATTCTGTGCTTTTAACCATACCTGCAACGGTCTTAGACCATGTAAAAGCTCCTTCATGATGGTCTCTTGCCCTTTAACCATTTACGGTAACGAGTGAGTAACGCACACTTTATCTTATGTTGTTCCTCCCGCCGGTTTTGCTGGGGTTCCTGTGTACACACAGTTTGAATTCACGAGCAGCACACCAGTCAAAGAGAAAATTTTCACGATGCCGACATCACTGTTGTAATCTCAACGATGAGGGAAACCGTAAACCCAATGTCTGAAACCATGCCCACTTGGGGCTAATTATTGGGTCCACATTATTGGTCCAATGTCAAGCTACATGGTATATCGTGCCATGGGTCATCCATCATATTTCATGGGAACCCAAACATCATAGCTATGTGAATCACCATAAAACTTGGATTGATGTGCATCACCCGAAAACTGAATATGTCAATGTAGTCCAAATTGTGAACATGTAAATGTCTCTTGTTTCTACCATGTCCCCTTAATTATTTCCCCATTGAACACATACAAGGTGACGCCCCTCAGATAGCTAAGTTGATTTACAACTTGGTCAACTGAGGCTTATTGGGGATATATGGGGATATATGGGGATATAGTATATCAACTTCTACCAGACCTGGGGGGCCTCGCCTTGGCAGACCTGGCTCCATTGATAAACCGTTGGGATTCCACTCAGGCCTGGCAGACCTGGCACCAAGACACCAAGTAGGCTTTGGCTGGACCCAGCCTGAAGCGGAGCTGGGATTCAGCCAGAAGGTCGTATACCCTAAGCCTAGTAATCTTTGTTGGTTTATAAGTCCCACGAACTATGGTCATATCATGTCATATACCCAAAAAACCATAGAATTCACTAAGTTTTGTAAGTCAACTTAGCTATCATCAGCTATAAATTATTAGAAATTCCTTGAAATTCCAATGTTTTCTGGGTGAAATCACCATGTTCCTATGTTTTTTTTCTAGGCTCGAGCCGTCAAGCTGCAACGGAGACGTGGCTTCCACCGAGGACAATCTCAACAGCAGCGGGGCCAGCACTGAGCCGAGCAACGCCTCGGGACTTTCAACCGAAATTTGGGAGACAATCCCAGCAGATATGGTTTTGTTCAGACATTTTCTCTCATATTAATGGTGATTTTCCATAGCTATGTTAGTTTACCAAAGGGTAAATAATCATCCAATAGAATGGTAAATAATCATCCAATAGAATGGTAAATAAGCATACAATAATGATCTGCTTGGTGGTTTCAACCCCTCTGAAAAATATGAAAGTCAATCGGAAGGATGACATCCCAGATAAATGGAAAATAAAAATCATGTTTGAAACCACCAATCAGTTTTGGTATCATATTTATGTGTGTAAAACAATGCCATAAACCACCCATGACTGGGAATGGTTTATACCACCTATTTACGGTGATTTGGGAGATGGTTTACTCTTGTTTTACCCATAGTATATCATCTTATGATGATTCCCCCAGTCATAAAATGGCTGTATTAGCGTCCCCTAAAATTTATTTTCACCATGGTTTTCAGACTTCCCAGCTAAGGCGCCACGGCCAAGCCAATTCGCCAGCAGAAGCACAGAGCCTTGACCAATTCGTGGTGCGAGTTGACGGGAAAGTCATTGAACTATACCGGTACATGGATAGAAGACGTGTTAGAATCCCCAAAAAATGGCATATGAACCCTTTACAAGTGGCGAAACATACATATATAATAATATAATATATATACACAGTACCTATGAACTCAAACCTGCTCTTGGTCATTTCACATGGCTGCAAAAATTCAACCATGGAAACATGTGATGGTTCTGGTGGTGTTTAGTGGTAAGATCATCCCACCGGCTGGTTCTCCCTGGGAAGTCCCGATAATTTCTGGTGAAGATGGTGATTTAATGGTGAATTTATGGGGTTTAATGGGATTTAATGGTGATTTAATGGGATTTAATGGTGATTTAATGGATTATTCTATATATATGCACTAACAATAGTATTGTTATTAACCAGTCACTGAGTTCACTGAGTTTGACATATGCTCCACCATGTCTGGCTCGCTGACCTCCAAATTTCTTTGGTGATGACCACAGGTTGTAACGATAGATCAGCAAACCAGAATGGTTTCTTTCCCAAGTTCAATCATGAAGTATAAACTATCTGGATAAATTAAATTGTACAATAACTCAATAAGATGAACATCCATGGGGCATTTTGGGATCAGCAAACTCCAATCCAAACTATCAGACCATAAGTCATTCAGAACTATGTATTACTATAACTTGTTACAATATATATATAGATCAACATTACTATACTGGTAATAGTCATTTCACTGAACTATAATTGAACTGCTTAATATATTGAACTGTTCTAGCAATATATCATTGAACCATCCACAGTATCACCATTATATGGACTATGGGTTATAAATCAGAAACCATTTACTACAAGGTGGTGACCCCAAAGAATAGTTAAGTTGACCAAACAAATATCTCACAGTCTTGGTTAACTGTTGGTTTTTGGAGGATATACCCTCTGGTTATTTAACATAGCCATGGAAAATGGCCCATAGAAATAGATGATTTTCCCATTAAAACCTCCATTTATAAGGGTTTTTCCATGGCTATGTTAAATAGCCAGAGGGTAAACTCATCTCAACCCAAGGTTCCTGCGCCAGCACCTTGGAGACCTCGGCCGGCTTCTTGGCTGCGACGGCTTCGGAGGTCAATGTGCGGACCGGCACTTGCACCGTTTTCCTCGGGAAGGACATCAAACGTGGTAACCCAGCCAGCCTGGTTGCAGAAGTGGAGGAAAAAACCATCAAAACATCTCAAAAACTTTGATTGAACATTATTATTTATTATTGAACCACGCAAAAATGGAATCGAAGACTCAAACAACATTCTTTAAACATCAAACAACATGAAACAACTTGATCTAACCATCTAACATGCAGACTCACTAAAATGCGATGCTTTCCGGTACCCGACAGAGTGGCTGCAAAATCACCATTTCGAATGGATGTTTTTCCAAAGTCAGGTACAGTTGTGGAGGGTAGGTCCTTCCCCTTGGGGCACGGTGTGGACCGTTTTTTTTTAAGCGTCAAATGATGTGAACCGTGAAGGGACCAACAGATTTGGCGGCCTTGAAATTTGGGGATGATTCCCCGAATCCTAACCAGCCAGCATTCCAGTGCCGACGTCACAGTGAGCCCGCTACAAACTATCCAGATGTTCATGATTCAGGTTTTGTTATACACTTCCATATATATATATATTGATTGGAAAAGGTCACTGAAAATTGACGGATGCGGAGCAAAACCGACGGTTTTACTGGGTTGGTTTACCCCCCTACTCAGGTCCCAAAGTGCATCCAGGCGGCCGGATGCTGGAATACCGTGTCACGGTGTAAAATTTTAACAAAACACACTCTGCCTCAAAAAATGTTACGAAATCGAATGGTTTGTTAGATGTTTTGAGTGACCCAATCAGATTTCTCCAAGTGCCTTAACATCTTTACTAGATCCCAACTCATACGCAGCTCAGTGATGAAAGAAACCCCAAAACGGACCTCTCCCCCTCTGACTGACCCAGCTTCAAGATGTCAAACATCCAATCCTGGCTGCGGCGTTCCGTCTGGTGGATCGCTGTGGGAAATACAAGGTGCTGCCCCATAGTTTAGCTAAGTTGGCTTAGTCCAGTAGGTGATAATGTGTTTGAATTATATATATATATATATGGTATTACAATGTATTATATGGCTATGCCCCAATTGGATACACTTGGATTTATGGTATATTTGGAGCAAGTTATTTACACAATTACCTTACAACATCGGGGCACCAGTTTGTAAAATGATGTAAGATGCCAAATGCTAGTGGCATTGGTTGGTGGTTTCAACGCGTTCCACAAATCTGATGGTCATTCATAATCATACCAATCATTTGGATTCCTAACTCCAAGCCTGCATGAATACGACGAAGGATTTCTGGTTGTCGTTGGCTGCCCTATATTTGTCTATATATACCCGCAAAAAAATATGGTTATCGATTTGTCTCGGATTCAATACTATGTGACGCAAAATCATTATCCCGTACTTTGCACCAGTCAAACTCCAGCGGTGACATGGCTGCCAACAAGCCCATGCTGAGATTAAAGCAACAAACATCGTTGCCACTCAGAAGCCACGGAGTCGTCTCAGATGTGCCCGCAGCTGCTTCCTGGTACTTTTTCATGTTTGCATTTTGGAGTGCCAAACCCTCGCCCCGGTCAAGAAGTGTTTGAGAGCACGAAGCCAGTTCTTGGAGCATGCAGTCAAGCATTGGCATTTGCCACTCACAGGGTTCTCCACCACACATGTGGCCACCTGACACACCATGATAAATATCTAAAAAAATAAGAAAAACAAAAACCACCCAAGATAAATCAAAACAACTCAAGATTTTGTGACATTAGTTGATGATACAATGATGATGTGATCATTCTGATGTGATGATAAACAAATGATACTGATACTGACATGTAGGCTGTGAGTAACCATCATACACCAGCAATATGTTTTGTATTTTGATTTTTAAATTAAAAATAAATTTCACAAGTCATATGGTCCTATGTTGATGGTGATGTGCGTCAACAAAGGCATGCTATCTACTTTTATGTTACCAGTAAAATTTACCAATAGTACCGCAAAAGGCGGTGGCGGAAGTTTTAAGGATAGACAACTATAGTTAGGAAGTTTCTCTACCATGATTTTCATAAGCCCAATTGTCAGACATACCTGCCTGCTGACACTCAACTGCCACGCTGAAACAACACACCTGCCACATTGACTGACACACAGACGGGGCACAACTGCCACACTAAAACGACCAACTGCCACACACCTGCCGCCCTCTCTGACAGACAGACCGGACACATTGCCACATTGAAACGGCCAACTGCCACATACCTGCCACCCACCTGCCACACACCTGCCACTCTTTTGTCTCTTCTTGAACCAACGGCAATGATGAGAAAACTGAACAGAGACTAGTCCTTGCAACTTTCTAAGCCATCATCAGAAGCCTTCTTGGTTCCGTTGATCAGTCGAAGAAGCAAACTGTGGGTGTGCGAGGCACTCAAAGATTCAATCTTGGACAAACCCTCCCCCCAAGACACTTCCATCTCGGAATGTACTTGGGCAAGGGCCTTTTCCAAGAAACCAAGCATCATGTTCAAGATATCCTTCTCAAAGGATTCAACTCGGCCGAAAGTCTCTCTGAACTGCTCCATGCCCTTCCAGGCACAATTCTTGAGAGACTCCTGAAGTTTGAGTAGTGTGTCCATGTTCCTGAGACTGTTGTCCAGGAACTTCAAGACTTGTCCAGGAACTTCAAGACTTGCACAAGCCTGTCACTGCTGTTGATCTTCATGACGTTGAGAGCCTTTCCCTCAAAGAGTTGATCTTGTCAGCAGCAGTCCCAGCTTGGAGAACAATTTTCCATTGCTCACCACCAGACAGCAAAGCATCAACAAGCGGCGGCCACGTGCAGCGGAGACATGCTGGCAGTGCAGCAATCTTGCCACTGGGAAAGCTCAACTCCTGGCTAGGCACTTTCGAAAATATGATTTCTTCAAAGCCCTGGTGCGACAAGCCAGCAGGCCACTCAATGCTACTCTTTCCCGGAACTGCCTTGCGGTTCAAAAACAACACACATCCGAGCACACCTGACAGGAAGTTGTGCACGGGACCGAGGGTCTTGGCTAGAACCGAAGCAGACACCCCAGCAAAGTAAGCACACATCTTGCCGTAGCTAAACTCCTGGAGAGAACTGAAAAACTGCTTGATAGACCAAGAGCCCTTCTGCTCCTCAGCCTCCAGCTTGTGCAAAGACATCAAGAATTTCCGGGGAGAAGAGCTGAACAGCATGTTGAGCGTCAAATTCTCTGGCTTCACGTTTTTCCTGATTATCAGCACCATTGGTTGAAACTTGATGGGGTTGAAAATTGAAGGTCTGAAACTTGCCTACCTGAAAGTCTGAAACTTAAAATTATAGTTACCATATGATTGATACGTGACATGGTGGTAATTCTTGGGGGGAGAACCATGGAAAGAAAGATGAGCTGGACACCAACTCCAAGCCACCTGATAAAACAAATGTCAAGGAAAAGAGGACCAAGACATAAAGGGTTAGAAACACCAAATGGACTGATGAAATTTCTTCCCCAGGCTCCGAAAAGTTAATGTCATTCTGTGCTATTTTCCTGGTGCTTCATGTTGCTTCTCTATGTAGAAATCCATTATTTGGCTGTTACAAGGGGCGGGGCAGGCCCTAAGCCATACCTATCGCTAATCTTTTTACATACCATGCCAAAAAATGTGGGTAGCACGCAACACCACCTATATATATGCGAAGAAAATGAACCATTGCTCTAATGAACAGTAACCTGTGTGTTTACCCAGTAATTACCCAAACATTGCTGGTTAGTATCTCATATTGGAATGTAAAACAACAAAACATAACGGGTTTGGAAGACTCCCAACCAAGGGTGGATGTGTATGAAAAGGGTGACTGTAAATTGCCCGGTTCAGTATATTTTATCAACTTCCCTATTTTTTTACACATCCAGCTTTACTAGTCATGGATCCGAACTATTGATGGTTGTGAAATATCCCCACTTCTTGCGTGTATCCCCATGATTATATAAAGGCTATTCTTGGCCAGTTCTGTCTTGGAAATCCCTAAGTTTGGTTTCTTAACCAATGTGTGTTGCTTAAAACCATGTTTATCCATGTTTGTTGTTGGTGAAACTAGCATTTTGGCCGTTGAACACCACATGGATTGGCAAAATCAATTAACAAAAAGGTGGATTGAATTCCCCAACTAGTAAACCTACTGGTTTGACCAGCATTTACCCATTTTTTGCAGGCATAATTATTGGAGTAAATCGCCATTGTCTTGGACACACCCATATATCATCATATATCATACATATAATCAGTAGCTGTTGGTTACGGTTCTACATCCACATTGTATGAATTACCCTCTGGCAATTTGTTACCGTTTGCTATTGAACATAGCCATAGAAATAGTTGATTTACCCATTAAAAGATGGTGATTTTCCACAGTAAACTGTTAGTTTACCAATCATAAATCAGTAAATCACAATTCTACTATGGAAAATCACCAGTAAACGGTTAGTTAAATCACCAGTTGGTTTTCCTTTCCTCATTTTCCGATCCTCCACATTCAGCGCTGGACCCAGCGCAGCCAGGGAGACCATCCCCAAGCACCTGGAACATGGACAAATAACCGGCTGGGGGGGGGACAATCGTAAGGGGTTTATATAACATGGTTTAACCATTGAATGTGGGAAAAAACATATGCAAAAAATATGGGAAAATGAAGTAAACAATGGGGTTTAGCAGTGTTTAACCATTGAATAACCACTGAACATGGGGATGCATGGTGAAATTCCAGGAAACTTTGGGTTTAAGCATTGATGGGATTTGGTAAAATCAGTGATGAAGGATGATTTGATCAGCAATGGTGTCTATCGAGAATGAATGAACATTCCACAAAACCAAGTGCAATAGTGTAGCGTTGACATTCCTCATGTTGTACTGCTTGCCCAATGCTTACAGTAATCTGATATCCAAATATTCATATTGCTTAATCTCTCCTTATTCCTATTGTTTCCAACGTTTGCATGTGTTTCAGCCAGCAGTTGCATGTGGTTCAACATGGTTCAACATGGCTCGGCATCCCCAAAGACCTCAATCTAAGTCTTGATGAAATCCAACTTGTAGCTTGTGGCTACTAAGGTGGTGCCCCCAGCATTGGTTTAGTTTCCCTCCATCAAGTTCCAGATGAGTTTGGAAACATAGAACCCCCCCTTTCCCTTTACCCTCTGGTAAATTAACATAGCTATTGAAAATGGCCATAGAAATAGTGGATTTTCCCATTAAAAATGGTGATTTTCCATAGTTTTTTGTATGTTTACCAGGCCGGGTACCCACCATGCTTCCCCCACGGCACCTTGAGACCCAGTAGGTGTCCAGCAGCGACAGCAGCGGATCGATCGAGGCGCCCAGCACCGCCGGCCAGGCCAAGCTGAGGATCTCGCGGTCGCGCTGCCGGTGACGGACCTGACGGACCTGGTCCCAACAGGCCGAGGCCAAGGGAGGATGGAGGATTTTGCCGGAGCCAGTGTAAGGTGTATAGAGTATTTAGCAGTTGATGGTGAAATAGCAATATTAAAAACACATACCAACATTCTGAAAGAAGATGTATTTCAATAGGAATTCCAGGATCCTAAAATGGAGGTACTGTACCATATAAGGCCATATTTTCTGGGGATATTCACTTACATAGGCCTTACATAGTCCTTATATATGGATCGGGGTTCAGATAAGGGGGGAGGAGTTGTGCAGATGGTTTTGGTAGATACAGAGCGGAATGCATAGGGTGCACAACTACAAAATGCAAGTGCATGTACTTTTTTTCAGCTACAAAATGAAGAACATAACTCTTTCTGGCTCGGAAAATAATTCAAAACCAGTACTACAAAATCCAATGCATCTGAAGGCAAAAAAATAGCTGAACGTCGGAACTTCTAACATGATTTTTCCCAATGACATTTTGTAGTTGGGTCTTTGCCATCCAAAGTTCCGACCAACATAAATTCGGAGAACATTTTGTAGTTGTCAATGATTGAATTTAGTTGGATCAAGTGTTTTCCAAGTGTTTTCCTATGGCACCTTGATTGGGAGCATAGGGGCCGGTTGCATGGGGGTTGGCTCTCAGTTAGTGGGGGACATTCATTAAAGTTGAACGTCTTTTTCATTCTTACCCATCTTGATCATTCCTTATCTGTGTTATCCCTGTCCCTGCACCTCAGCATACATACAACCACAAAATGCAAATGAATGTTTAGCATGAATGCAAATGAGATTTTATGTTGGATGCTTCAACTATTCAACCTGTACAGCTACAAAATGCAAATGAGATTTTATGTTGGATGCTTCAACTATTCAACTTGTAAAACTACAAAATGCTAATGAAATTTTATGTTGGATGCTTCAACTAACTCAACATATACAACTACAAAATGAAAATGCATGCTTTGAAAGGAATCAACTACAAAATGATTCCAAATACAAAATGGGGGGCACAACCCCTCCTGATTGTACAAAAAAATGCTGGCTGGCAATCTGTACTGTAGCCCAAGTCCTCCCCATTTCGTAGCTGAAATTTGAAGGTGGATATATATGGTAGGTACCTCCAATCTAGGATCCTGAAATGGCCATTGATGTATTGGACATAGACATTTAAAAGTGAAGTATAGCCGATTTCGATGAGGAAGTTGATCTCCATTGGGGTGACATATGGATCATATGGATTTAAACCAGCCGGAGTGGAGATCTTTTATGAGTTTAAATGATGTTAATGGTTTTGATCATTTCAGAAATAGGGATAAGGCATAAGGACATGATCGGGAATTTGAGTTGAAACCATATCACCAGCAAAAGGCTTGATTCATGTTGATTCCCTTCCTTTGGCTTTGTGAAAGGATTTAACCCAACTTATGACCATCACACAATAGCGAATACCCAAAAAACGTAAACAAACATCTAGATCCCAGATATTTCCAGATATTTCCAGATGAACTCCCAATTGTTTGCTGGGATTTCACCCCATCTGTTGGTCAAATCCCCACGTTGGCGGCGCGCCGCCTCGGCCGGTATTGCCCGAAGGGCGACCCGAACTGCGACCGGCGGCTTTTGCCAGGTCCTATGTGGAGGATGAGGTCAGCGAAAACAAAAAAACGTGGCGAATATGGCTTTGAAACTGATTTGGAATCTGTTTTGGAAAGTATTGACATTGCATGTTGTTCTTGATTCTGCTAATGGTTTTTTGTTTGTTGTCTAAGTAACAACCAAGGTATTTCTCTAGTTGTTAATGGTTCTTACTTCTTGGAATGTTCTTTGTTTGACGGTTTCACTGAGATGTCCACAAGTTTAGCTGATTCACTGGGTTGATTTGAGGGAAGATGCGCATGGCTTTCGTCCTGCCAAAACCCATCAACTGACCCAACATCAATCGGACAGTACCAATGGTTGTGCCCTTCATCACGCAACTGGTGGTTGTTGATGCCATCTGTGAAGTTGAGGGTGATGTATTCAGGCCAAAGACGTTTTGCCTTCCTTCTTCTTCTGCTCTGCTCTCGCTTTCTCTTTGGCAATGCGGTCTTTTCCCTCGAACCAAACTCATTCAGGACATGTGGTACGGCCAAAGAGGGTCAGCAAGAATTGTAGGTATCAGCAACAGAGATTGGGATATTCACCAACATATTTTGGAGGATTTTTGGGACACTTCCAATAGCTGTATAACCAACAACATAGCATGTATTTTCAGAGGAGAAACAGGTGTGAAATTGACTTGAACAGGATGTTCAAGATCAAATATTCAAAATAAATCAGTGATCACAATGCATATTCCATAGTTGGCTCCTGCCACCCAAAAATGTTCGAATTTCGTCATATTCGTAGTTCTTGGGTTTCCTTCGTTTTGACAAAGCTCCAGCGGGCTTGACAAAGCCCTCTCCCGGGGGTAAATGGTAAATCAACCGTTATGAGATCAACCAGCTTAGACAAAATACCAAAGAGAGCATTGCATGCATTGATTCAATTGAAACTTTACTGTTAACACTGTTAACTAAAAAAAAACAAGCTTTTGGTCCAAAACAGGGTCCTGCAGATATTCCCCACAGTTCTGGGATATAACTTGATATAACCACCATGACAACAACGCTCCTGGGTGCGGAAGCCACACGGGCCGAAACCGGGCCACCAGCCACCGAAGTCCATGGCAGCATGGGGGCAGTCTGGGGGCACCGAAGAAACCTAACATGGGGACATCTAGTCATGGCTGGTACACTGCTTCAATGGGATTTATAAATTCATATAACAACTCTCATAGAACAGTATTATCATGCATATAATTACATATATAATACTGTATGAAAATGTATGGTGTCAAATGGCGGGAATGCCAAATGGAGACGTTGCTTTGTCGGCGTGAAACACGCCTTCCAAGTTTAGGATACCTATGATTTCACCAACGCACAGCGCTTCCGGTGCGAGCATAGTGGTCAATCCAGGGAACGCAGTGCACATGCCAAACATGACTGTAATAACATAATATGTATATGTATATATATATTTTTTCATAGTTATACAATGTTATATATATATATATGCATATAACATCGTATAACCATATATATATATATAACTACTATATTGTATAATATATAAGACACGTTCCAATGTCGTTCTATGTTCTGGGACCATGACCCCAGATTTTTCAGGTAGCCTATAGTGTTGCCCCCCATAAGTTGCTTCATATCGAAACTAGCGGGGTTTAACCAACATCCGACAAACATAACTGGGGTGGCACCATGTTGTAGGGATGCCAGGGGCGATCTCTGGAAATCCACTTGTTATCAATTGTTAGACTTGCTGGTCAAGGGGAATATTGATTTTACAGCCCAAGATACACCTCATCATTTACGAATATATACACCCTTCAAAATTTGACATAAAACCGCAAAAACTCAAAGGGCTAGAACAGTAAGAAGGAAACCACCCATTTATTTGAATCTATCATAATCTATAATGTGGGTAAAACATGGTAAAACAATATTAAACCACCCATTTGGGAATGGTTTATACCACCTATTTATGGTGATTTGGGGGATGGTTTGTCATTGTTTTAACCACAATATAGCTTGTTGGTGGTATACCTACCCCTCTGAGAAATGATGGAGTTCGTCAGTTCTTCACCTTATTCCCAATATGAATGGAAAAATCATCCATTCATGTTCCAAACCACCAACCAGATAGGTATTCACAACTAACCATTCCCCATGTTTCCCCTGCGTCGCTACTGCCTGGCGTCGCAACGCTTCGCCGATGCGTTGGCACACCTCCTGGGGGTGGACCCGATGGCGTGGCTGTTCCAAGGCAGCAAACATCATGGAAGAATGTGTGGCACAGATCATAAACCATTAATAAATATAGTGGGTAAATTAGCATTTTTAATGGATAATTCAACTATCATAGTATATCATAGTATATCATAGTATATCACATAAACCATTATAATGGGTAAATGACCATTACCCTCTGGTTATGACTAACATAGCCATGGAAAATCCCAAATAAATGGAGGTTTCTAGCTGGGAAAATCATCTATTTCTATGGGCCATCTATACCATGGCTATGTTAAATAACCAGAGGGTATAATGGGTAAATGACCCATTTTTAATGGATATTTCAACTATAGTATATCAGTATATCCAGAATGGTGGTTGATCCATGGTCATTTATAGTTGATTTACCCATTTACCCATTAAACACCTGGGGCATTAGTCAGTTTATGTCAGTTTGGATGATCTCGGAATGGCCTTTCCACTGATCTAAGGACTGGCTTTGGAACTTGCTGGTGAACTGCAGATTCCTTCAAAATCTTAGTGGTCTACGTCTACATCTATGTACACGAATCTCTGAGAAGAAACAGCTCCCAGAAACCATGGTTTCTGGTGGGGGATCTACATATCATTTGGACCATCATTGAAGGGAGGTGTTTCATTTTTTAGGGGGGATGGATGGGGATGGGATTACTGCATACCCATGTTCGCTATGATATCCTATGGCCTTGATTCCCATCCAAGGGCTGCTCGACTGCCAAGTCGTTCTATGTGAAATTTACCAGTTGAAACATGTCGGAACTAGATCGCAATACATAATATACAGTAATACATAACAATACATAAACATATATAAAACAATAAGACACCATCTACAAACAAAAATGGTACTGGAAAATCCATGTTTCGATCCCTGGTTCATTGAACTGTAGCCCCAAGATCCAGCTCCTGCAGCGCCAATTCCTGGCGCAGATTGGTCGGAAAACCTACAACTGGGTGCCCCCCACTCATATGTTGATTTATAACGGTTTATAGTTCCATCTAACTTTTTTGATACATCTACCATAAACCCCACTCAACAACAATATGAACCAACTTAGCGAACAATGGGGCACTACCAAAAGTAGATCATTTGATGCGTAGCCAAAACCAATATGTGGAGCCCTTCTGACTTCGCTTCACTTAACGGCACTTTTCACGGAAAATCGCTTAAGACATAACCCCACCATCCCAAACATCAAGAACACAAAACAGAACAAACATATAAATATGAACAAAGTAAAAATAACAATAATATTAACCACCATTAACCATCATTAACCACCATTAACCACCATTAACCACCATTAAAAATGCAATAATCAACCGTGGCTAGCTGGAAATCCAGCAAGAAACATATGATTACACCGGAAGGTTATGGTTGATCATATTCCCACCAGTCATCCACATTCAAGTTGCCAAACAATGGGAGCGCATCCCATTATTTTGGGGACTTACCCACAATAACAGTTACATTATATATATATATATACATATGCAATATTATGTCATAACAATCTTTATTCTACTAACATCCCATCAACATCCCATTCTATCTGATTGAATTAATAAAAAATCACAATCATCAATACGGACAAATCGTAGCGTGCCACGAATGCATCCTCCCTGGCTCTGAGAAGCCCGGCAGAGCTGGCTGCAGAGGGCCTGATCAGCCCATGTTGGAGTCTTCCATGTTGTGACTCCAATGATTAGGGTTTATTGTAATAGATATATTTATGATATATTTATAAACAAACACACAAAGCTAGGGTTCATAGTTACTAGGGTTTATGATTAGGGTTTATAAACAAACACACTCTTTTATGATTGGGGTTTATGATATATTTATACTTACTTTGGTTTATATATAAACAAACACTCATAACTGGGGCGGGAACACCACCTTGTGGTGATTTTTCACCACATGTAAGCTAAGATCAAAACATAATCAAATCTTTCTGGTGATAAACGTAGGGAATGGCGGAATGATCCGGAATTATAACGATCATTCGATATCTCCATTCCCTACCAAGCACCAGTAAGAAGCACGGTGACTTTTCACAACATGTGTGCTATAGGGTCAAGACATGGTGTATGTATATGTATCTATATGGTTTACTGGTCATCCAGGCAATATCGAGATTCCTCGAACAAATCGTATACCAATCCATCTGAAATCCAACATTTCATGTGGAGATGTTCACCTCTACTAGTTGCTGGTTTATGCGGCTTCGGCTTTATATAACTAGAACTACAATGAACTATTTCCTCTGGTTATGTCGAAATAGCTATTGAAAATAGCCATTTATAGTGGGTTTGCCCGTTAAAAGTGGTGATTTTCCATAGTTATGTTAGTTTACCAGAGGGTAACAGCAACTTGGGGTTCCAATGAAATCCAAGGCCGAAATGACCAGTTGTATTGATTTTGTGTTGGTAGACCTTTGCAGCCCACTTCTTCTTGGTAAAACCGACCCATCTGCTGGTCAGATCCACCACATGCGCTCACATTTTTGGGTGACAATTTCGTGGGTTTGATCAAACTATTTCCAACACAAAAACCCAAATTATTTCTGGTTGGTGGTTTTTCGCCACCCCTCTGAAAAATGATGGACTTCGTCAGTTGGGATGATGACATTCCCAAGTGAATGGAAAGTCATAAAAGCCATGTTCCAAACCACCCACCAGATATCACCAGATTTGCTAAGAAAGCGACATAATATCCTATGAAGTCCCACAAAAAAGTGATGCTTCCCCTTGATTCATCTGATCACTGGGCATCCCGGGCTGTGTGATTCTTGGTGCAGGCGGCGTGATGCCCACGGTCGACAGTGCCTTTGAGGCACTGGTGGTACGGGATCATCATATCTGGAGATCGGGAGACTGGGCACATCTTTGGATTGGTTTTGTTGGGAAAATCTACAGGAAACCATGGTTTTTATCATGAAATATCGGGGTTTTACCATGGTTTTTACCACGAAAAAATAGTGAAATTGTGATCTGCAGCTAATATGTTTCCAGATTTTTTGCATTCTGGGAGTATGAATGCAGATATGCACATTGAATTTGAGAAAACTCTTAATCATACAAATGGTAGAGTATATTAAAGTATGTATATAATTTATGTATTCATATTTTGACATCAAATCCGACTTTTGCCCAAATACCAATGGGACGGGACTATCAAATTTGGATTCCTGTGCCTGCATGATACTTGTATAATTCGAATACTACCATTTCATGCAAAGCCCAAAATTGTGAGTAGTATCCCAAATCGCCACACAGATTGGACTTTTGAAATTCTCAAACAAACAAAACAAACTGATAGATAGATAGATACATAGTTATATATATATACATATCATATATGTATATATATATATTATATATACATATATATATATATATATTACTATCTATCTATCAAAAAATAATATGTGTTTTTCATCATTCTCAAAGCCGATTTTTTTTTTGAAATCACGGGATTCCAAGTCGCTAAGTCATCTACAAAAATCCCTATGACCATTCCCCCAACTTACCCAAAGTTGAGGACAGGAACTTACAACTATTGATTTATTGAGTTTTGGGAACAAATAACTATTGATTTATTGAGTTTTGATGAACATGATTCAATCTTTGGGAACAAATAACCAAAGTTTGTTAAACAAAAACTATTGATTTATTGAGTTTTCAGATACTTTCCCGTTCAATACCTATTGCTAATTCAAATTATTGATCCATTGGGATTCCCATTACCATCTGGTTATTTAACATAGCCATGGAAAGATCCACCATTTTTAATAGGTAAACCATCTATTTCCATGGGCCATTTATACCATGGCTATGTTAGTCATAACCAGAGGGTATAAATAAATAGCTATTGAACATGGCCCAGTCGAAATAGTGGATTTACCCATGAAACATCGTGGATCTTTCCATCGTTTTTGGTATGTTTACCAGAGGGTAGATAGTCATACTATGGTAATAGGTAAACCAATATACCATCTATTTCGATTAGGGCCATTTATAGATACCAACCAATCATAACTCAATAGATACCACTAATAGATATACCATGGCTATAGCACTAATAGATACCAACCATAACTCAACCCATCGCCGTGCCTTCCGGAACTCCTCCCGTGAAATGCCTCCATCGCCGTCCTGGATCCGATGGTTACCATGGTTGGGTGGTACTGCAGAGTGGTACAGCATAGACCATCCCCCAGTGGGCTTTAAGTATGGTTATTTAATATGAGTACAGCAACATCATGTTTTGGAAAGTATAATATGGAAATATGATTTGAACATATAATATGGTCATTTAATATGAGTTATTTAATATAGAATATGGACAAATATGATTTATAATCATCTTGGGGTTGATTTTAAATATGAGTACAGCAACACTGGTTGGTGGTTTCAACCTACTCCTCTGAAATATATGAGTTCTTCGGTTGGGATGATGACATTCCCAATATATATGGAAAAATGTTCCAAACCACCAACCAGAACATCATGATTGGTCAATATTATTTGGATTATATAATCATATTAGGTATGACAAACTGATTATCAACAAATAAGAGTGGGATTCAATGCAGACTGAGCACAGGGAAAAGCCTTCTTGGAAGGGAAAACAAACCTGCACAGAATGATACAGAATGGGACATCACGGCCTCATGCAGGGGGGCCGGACATAGGTCATTGATCCTCATGTTCACCCATTGCTGACATGTTTCTTAAACAGATTGTTCTTGCAATAATCTCAGGGGATGCAAGGCTCTGACAGCAGGACGAATGCCTTCGACTTGTGCAAATCTTGCACATTCTAAGCCTCAAACAAAGCCTCCAAGCTGGTAAATGGACAACAGGGAGGCTTGGAGGCTTGATGGACAGATTTACCTGCTAGAATTTCTTTGAAGGACAACAGTTGACCCTGCAGGTAAATCCAAGTGGCCCAAAATAGGCTGTGGCTGGGGGGCTCCACGGAGCTCCTATTATGGTGAGCGCATGGGAGACCTTTGCTCCGCCAATGGTGAACTTTGATGCTACTGCTGCGGCTTACAAGTCCCTTTCGAAATCCGTGTTATCTTATGGTGTTCTTTCAATCTGAGACACTCTGCACAAAAAAGACATAGCTAATCACCATTCATTAACATACTATAACTAATTATAACATATTTAACATATTCAACATATCCCAATCAAAATGACTTCAGCAACATAGCAAAAAAAGAGAGTTGGGCGACTTAAAAGTCCCTTCAGCACGGTCTACCCAGCACCCATTCGTCGCCACCCCCAGCTCCGTATCGAAGCAACGCCACAAGTGCTCTAGCTGCTCTTCACGCAGGGTGGGCCTCGGCATCACCAGTTTTCTGTCACCGATTTCTTCATCTTATCATCTGTCTTTGTGATTCAGAGTTGGTCTTTAGCAAACTTTAGCAATTTTGGTATGTCGTGCTTTTAGTTGTATTTGTTCTTTTTTAGTTTGTTGGTCCTTGGCATTTTTTAACGCTGGTCTTTCAATAAAGAAAGGGCCACACAAAAAATGCTGATAAGTGATTGTCTTCCAATATATGCACCCCCTAAAAAAATCAAGAATATACTTACGCACTGTGAGTCACCAACCCAAATGTGGTTTCATTGCAACGAACATATGCGTCTCAACCACCACTAGATACAAGGCAAGGGATGTTGAAGGCTCGAAAGATCTGCCGATGTTCAGTGAATGGATACAACCTTTTGAAAACGCTGCAGCTAAACGTGGCAGCATGTGGCAGCTTTATCCTCGCCAACACTGAAGGTCTTCACCCTACTAGCCACTGGAGCAGTTTCCGGTCAAGTCACCATGGATCTCCATGGATCTCCATGGATCTCCATGGATCTCCATGGTTTCCTGGCTACACATCTTCCCCTCCACCGTGACGAGATGCTCCAGTGACGCAAAGAGGCTGCGGAAGTCGGGCCAATGGACCGCATCCTGGCTCCGAAAGAGAGTTCCGTCCGGAGAGATGTTTTTTCGATTTTTAAGTGGTGGACACATCTGAATTTCACCAAGAACAATTGTGAGTGAATAAGATCTGATCAACACAATCTAGTTAATCTAGTTGGTGGTTGAGCCACCCCTCTGAAACATATTCGTCAATTGGAAAGACTATCCCATATATTATGGAAAATAAAGAATGTTTGAGACCACCAACCAGCAATTCTGATATTGTTGGGATTCTTCATGCACACAATTGTGGTTGAATGTCATTTCATCAACAAAATTGGGTTTGAAACCCACCATTTGATGGAGACATATTGGGGATAAAGTGTGAATATATTCGAAGCCCAGGTCCGACCAGCTACGCTGCTTTGGTTCACTGCTTTCGCTAGGGGTTACGACTCTACAATAGTTACATGGTGTTATAAAGCAACAAAAAATTCACTGCTTCGGGCAGCACCTCACACCAGGAATCCCCTAGACCTGAGGTTGTGGTGAGCTCGCTATCATTTGCCCATTTCATGGTGTAAGTACATAATACGACAATCATCAAAAATCGGACTGATGGTTTCAAGCCCCCTGGGATCATAGAGAAAATATAGAGAGCATATTATTAGACAATCTAAGATCATCATCCCTTGTGGGATGGAAAAGAACACGTGTTTGCCATTCACCAGAAAAGTACACCTATGGCCTATGGCCATTATGGGTATGGGTCAAAGCCAAAAACACCAGAGCTAAGCAAAACACATCGACCCCAACACTTGGACTTGGATGGATGAATATGCCGTTAAACAAAAACACCAGCACCTCACCAGCAATCTGCTAGTCTACATGACTTAGATACCTTGCAAAAAAACATTGATTTCCACCTGATTTAGTATATGCCACCTTTTAAAGATGCAACATCGCCAAACAAAAACATATGTCCAGCAGGATTAGTACCGTCTCTTCCCATTTACTGCCGAAAACTTACCCGCCAAAACCCTACTGTGCCCTTTCACCAATCGCATGACTACGCTTGAGTCTGGGTAAGATCATGTCTGTATAACATTTGAGCAGTGTTCGAGACTCTCTGTCATTCCATGACATTTTCGTTGGTTGAGAAAGGGATTCCCATAATGATGATTTTTCCCAAGGTGTTGGTTAACCTTTGTTAGTATAATCCCCGAACATCCCCAAACTAATCATCAAGCAACACGGGTTTAGCAGGCACTGATCATAATTCTGCCCCATTGCTGAAAACTTAGCTCTGGTACTTTAACATAGCTATGCAGTTGAACATTTAGCCATACAAACAAACAAACATATATAGTTACAATCATCATTACACATTTTAAAAGTATATATACATATAATCCATGGGTCATTAAATGTCCCCATTGAACATCACCCAACCATTAGGTATATGGTCTGTAATGGCTACTATAAGGTGATGTCCAATATTCCCAAAATGGGACAGTTACCAACCCCTGTAATCTCCAACTATAGTTAGTGAAGTATCCATAAAAAAATATCCACGAATTCTCCATGAATTATCCTAAACCCTACCCTCTGGTAAACTAACATAGCTATTGAACATGGCCATTTATAGTGGATTTGCCCATTGAAAATGGTGGATCTTTCCATAGGTTTTTGTATGTTTACCAGAGGGTAGTGAAATACCAGGGTTTACTCTTCACCAACCCCTATGCGTTCATCGCACCTTGACTCCCGCCAAGGCTTGGAACAGCTCATCCACCTGGCGCGACCCAGAAAGCCAGCTATGAAATGTTGTTATTTAATGGGATTTAATGGGATTTATATCATGGGTTTAATGGATACTTAATGGGATTTTATGGGATTATAGTCATATTTAATGGGTTTGTAGTGGAATTATTACAGGAAATCATGAGATTTACCCTCTGGTAAACTAACATAGCTATGAAAAATCACCATGTGGAATAGGTAAATGTTAAATTACCAGAGGGTATGTGGACCTGAATCGGTGATGATAATATGAGCATCAACGGGGTATGTATAGATAATATAGATATTTAGATATAAAATATGATATAAGTCGGTGATCTATGAGTCTGAATGGCTGATTTTGTGGGTTCTGGATCCATCTGGTGGTAGCTTTCAAGCCATCCAGAAATCTCATGAAATTGGCATCCCAGGCAAATTGGAAAGGCGCTCCGCCGGCTTGAAGGACACCCCATGGTGTTTCGGTGAATTGAACGACGTTTTTTTAGGAAATTTCAAGAAATTGCAGGTGCAACTCCTAAATTCAAAAAAAACACTTTGCAGTTTTGGAACCAACTATTCATAGTAGATTCACTCTCCCATTCGACTGTATTTTATTGTATCTTGTTGAAGTATCCTTCAATTTACTTGGTGGTTTGTTACTCCCCTGCTCAAAAAAATGACTCTTAAAAATAGGATCAATGGTAAAACCATCTAGCACAAAACACATCAAACATCTATAAGTATCTGGCAATTCCTAACGTTTGATAATGAAATCTCAATGTTGGTGAGTTTCTCATTCCCATTTCAATGGCTACCTTTTGAAAATCACACATCATTAGCTGGGAAACCCCTTCCAAATGGGCCGTCTTGAATGTGAAAATCATAGAAGTGAATGGGCTGGTTGGTGGTATACCTACCCCCCTGAAAAATAGGAAAGTCAGATTGGATCATCATCCCAACTATTGGGGAAAAAAATGAAAATAAAAGCCATGTAAGTCCAAATCACCAACCAGTAGAGTCGTGAATGGGTGATTGTCCAGCTTGCCACGTTTGACTACCAGTAAATCCAAGGTTTACCCTCTGGTAATTTAACATAGCGAACTGGACAAATCCACCATTTTTCATGGGAAAATCCACTATTTCTATGGCCATTTTCAATAGCTATGTCTGACATAACCAGAGGGTACCCAGGGACCCAGCTGAGTCTCACACCGTCTTTCCTTCACGGCGCAGCGCGCTGTTGACGCCTCGGTTTTCGGTCGCGGAAACGAAAACCCCAACGGATGGGGTTTCTCTTTCTGAAAGGACCGGGGGGTGAGGTTAGGAACATGTTCAAACAACCCATGTTATAGGCTATCATATTCATATGGGTATGAGTCAAAACCTTGGTACCCTAGTGAACCACAAATAACTGGTAAATGGATGTTCATCCTCCCAAATATAGCAAGATTGGTTTTGATACATCCCCATATAATGTATGGATATCCATGCATATTATAGATAGATATTTATTTGATGAATATGATACCCAATATGGATATGATATTATACAGCTATGGATATGTATGGGGGATTCCTATCATCCGAAGATAATCAAACCAATTTTGACATGTGCCACGGTGAAGTTACATGACTCACATGGAATTAACCGAGGGGGAGGTCATACATCCCCATGAAGATGGATTGATGACCCCAGTTGTGAACATGGCACATATAAAGTATACATATGTGTGCACATATATATATATATATACACATTCACATATCATATAATCTATATATATATATATAGCGGCGGACAAGATTACTACTCGCAACGGAAATGGCCAAAGTGGGTGGTCCCCTATTGGTTCTGAAAGTTTGTAGTTCCACGCTATGTGCAAAAATAGGGTATCGGTAAGTGGGTGGTCCCCCAATCAGTTGTGAAGGTTTTAACACAAATTTGAACATTCCAAGTCCAATTTGAGCTAATTTTGTCGGTCACTCATATGATATTTATTTATGATTATTTATGGATATTTATGGGCATCTTATCATCCAACATGGAAACCCCAGCCAACCAGAAACGGAGTAGTAAAGCTTGGGCTGCAGCCCAACATGTTCACGAACTCTGTGTTACAGCCTTTCCAGCTCGAGACACCTCGGAATGTCCCAACCACTCACGCTTGAACTCAATCTTCAGGATGTGTCTCAACCTCTCCAAGTCACAATTGGAGGACAACAGTGCCTCTGCGCGATTCCGGCTGTTGATCTTCATCAATTGGATCAAATAAGACACAAAGGCCTTACTCTCCGGAATAATCACGTCCTTGCTCATCAATGGATCGCAATAGAACCCAGCTCCTAAGCAGTATAGCCAAGGATAGGTTCTGCTGTGCCGCATTTCATGGGGAAGTGGAGCCAGATGCCCCGCAGGGTGCAGGTCGCCAAGTTCCTCAAGGGAACTTGTGTGAGTCGGGCAGATAGGTAAGTGCCACACCACAGTAGTATGCCTATCCAAAAATAAATCGTGAAATTTTCCCTACATCTTCCCATTGATGTGGTAAGCCCAACAATGATTATTTCCTCTTTATCCCAGCCATAATCACAAACTCCAATTTTACAAGAATATGTAACCTGTGTTTTTGGGGAGGCTAGGGCATTGAAAAGAGTCCTGCAAGCACGAAACGTTGTGAATTACAGCGTTTCGCGGTGCTTGACTGCACGTTGCACTGCACGTTGCACTGGAGCCACACAATCCAGATAAGAACACATTTGTGGGTCTGCAGTAGCGTTGTACCGGCCAAGGTTTTTGGATGCTCATCGTGTGAGATGTGACACGTTCTGTGCATTGTGCTGAGTCAAATCTATTTTTTCTTTGGCAGCTTGTAAAGACAGTGCAGCGCTATAATTCCATAACGACAACAAATGATGCTCCTAGATTAACTACTATTAATGTCAAGTGGGTTGATTAATCCTCATCCCTGGTGGATGATTTATACAAAATTTGACAGTACTAAAAATAAAAACATGGCCTTTCCGCCATCCACATCCCCCGCTGCGTTCAACGGTTGCCGAGGCACGTGCGCAAATGGCCTCCGTCACGGCCTTGCTGGCGGAATCCACCTCCGCGATGCGCTTGGTGAACTCCTGTGGCTGGGGGTGGAAGTATTGAAAAATGGAGGAAAAATGGCTGATCTGCACAATCCCCAGCTTTCTCTCATCCTCCAAAAAATTCGGCTCCGGGGGTCCTCCTTTGAAACGCTTCCATCGCCGTTCTTGTCGAAGCTGTACCACAGCTCTTGGAGCTGCTGCTCGGTCCTGGGCTGGCGAAATGGTGAACAAAAAGGGTGCTTTCAAGGGGAAAATCATGGAACATCCTACTATAAATCTATAGGTTTTACTGGAACATTATCGAACTAAATGGGGCATTTCCCAGCCAGCCAAGTTTGAGGATGGAGGGTAGATGTTTTTCTCCCAGCACAGTATTCTGATTTATCCACCAGAACGATAGGATTTCTTGCACTGATGATTATAGGATTGTTTCAGTAAAAATTGGGATTTATCTGGTAAGCGCAGTGCCTTATCCAAAAAACATGGAGATTAGTCCCCATGATTGTCACATGAAACTTAGAACCCAACAAATCCTAGATGTCCTGCCAAATAATGACTTCTTTGCTGAGCAACATGTTACCCTAGTTGATAGCTTCAGCAAAATTTAACCCCTTAGTCCCTTAATAGGTATCAAGAGACATGGAGATAAAAGAGGCAAACAATCCAATAAAACATTTACAGAAATTGGTTTGGCGGTAGACCTCGAATTGACTTGACAGGATTGTAAATGTAGCTTAAAGCAAGGTGTTGGGTCGATGATTCCTCCTACTACCCATCACATCTATGGGGCTTGGTCTGCTTGGTCTGCTGGTGATGTGAATACTCGGCTGCCTCATTATGACCCATTATGCCATTTTTTGGATCTATTGACCCTACATCCACAACGTGGGACCTGTTGGAATTTGGTCTCCGCACAGGGATCTCTCCATCTGAGAGAAGAAGGCACAGAAGTCTTGCCAATACACAGCCGCCTCGCACAGCTTCATCATCTGAACAGGGTGCCCCTTGGGGTCCAAACTTTGTTAGCCCAGAGAGAAAAACGTGTCAGTAGATGGCAGTAGTATTGACTCAGCATCCTCATGATATTTACTGGCTTGATATACTCTACAAGGAGTTCGATCATCTAGAGGATTCATGTACACAAATGAATGTGTTTGATTCGGCAACCTCCAAAAGAAAGAGTTTGGTTTCACAGCAAAGAGTCAAATGTCACGTTTTGTGGCTCCCAAAAATCCCAAACTCATTGAATGCAACGTTTGATTCAAGATGATTCAAACATGTTTTTCCCAGGGACAAGCTGGGAAATTTGCCATGCGAAACACAAACAACATCCCGTATGGTTGTTGCATTTCTGAGCTGTAGCTACTAGAAGCTACTGAATTTGACCAACCATGTCACCTCACCAGGTTCCATGGCAATGGTTGGTGCCAGGATAACCTTGTGTAACCTCAGTGTGCCTTAAGTCTTATTCTGAATTAGTAATTTCATGCAACTTACTGTAAGATCACGTGTTTCGTTGATTTGTCCGTCCTTTTTATTGGTCAATCATGCCCATTCAAATCCCCAATGATACTGGATAGATAGATCCAAATATGTGCTAAAGACATCTAAAGACTCATCATTTGAGGATTTTTGAGGAATTTTGAGATAGATCCCGTTTTTTTTCAAACAGTCGAGATTTCCTGGTACTCAACATCCGTACATTTCTGCTTGATCAACTGACCAAATCTAACAAAATGTGCCTTGACTCCCGCCAATGCGTCGAAGAGCTCGCCCGCAGATTTCCTCAATGGCGGATTTGATAGGGCTATATGGAATGGGAAATCATGTGGGATTATCCATGTATAACGTATACCATAAACAAAGGTTCTAACCATATGATATAGGATACTAATATGCAAAGACGGGTTCTTTTTGGATGGGATATTGTGGGGGTATAATAGGATAACAGATAACCAACAATATGGGTCATACCAAAGTCACATGCGGAGATGCAACCCTTCATGCCTGTCGTGAAACGAATGTAAATAGAATTGACATGGGTGTCTCTGAAAATGGCGTATACCGGGACACTGATTATTGACCAGTGGATGGAATGGGGTATTGCATTTTCAGACAAACTCATATCCAATCAGATCCCATTTGGCTAGTACATCCCATCTCCCCATGAATTGTCCCAAATTATAAATGAGGTTGCCATGAATTCCCCCCAGCAAAAACTCCCATAACCATATTGTTGATGATTCCCATTGTATCTCGATATTTACCCGCATTATATATTATTATTGGTAATAATCATATCATGATTATTCATTATTATGGTAGTTATTACCATCATATCCAAATTTTGGTTACAATCTCTATTATTAAAGTTAAACATCCATTGCTTACCGTCACAGCCCAGTGGCTTCTGCTTGCGTAAGGCAGCCGTCACGCGTGAGCACACCATGTCGGCCACCTTATTATGTGCGGCCCCATGGAAAATGGCCCATCTGTAGATGATTTACCCATAAAAAATAGTCGTTTTCCATCAAATAAAACTCTTAAAATCATGTAAAATCATCCAAGGGTATGCAATATGTTTACAATGTTTCATATTTACTTACGCATCCTCATGGCAGAACTTTCATAGCTATTTCAGGATAACTCAAAAACCGAGCCGAGCCGATCCTGATACGGGTTTGCGGAATGGGTCAATCGATACTCCCCACCCCAAAAAAGTAGTAAAACATAGTATAGCCCCCCATTAATCTACCACCAATTTATGGAGATAGTACTCTTGAAGGTAGTATAACCAACCTAGACTCTTGATGGTAGTATTATTATAACCGCCCAATGGCAAATCAACCTTCAACCAACCATCATTTATCAATAATTTGAAACACTGACAATCCACCTGCTTAGGTCCACAGAAGGCTGGTCATTTTGACCCGCTGAAGCACCAATGCAATCAGGATAATCATATTGAGATCAACTAGCTATCTATGTATATATATATATATACCATCTGGTTATTTAACAGCTTGCCATGGAATATCACCATTTTAATAGGTAAACCATCTATAAACCATCTATTTCGATTAGGGTCATGGTTTCCATGGCAAACTGTTAGTCACCAGAGGATCATCAAACATGGCAATGGTAGATCCTCTGTAAATGGAGGCATCGTTCGCTGGGAACATCATCGAACTGAATGGTCGATTTTCCAGCAAGCCACGGTTGATGACCAGAGGGTATATATATATATATATTAATACATGATCAGTTCTTAGGAAAACCCTCTGGCAATCCTATCAATGAGGATGGAGTTAGGTTATGACGATTATGATCATAAACCCACCTTTTCATTGTTGTTGATAGTTGGTGATGGTGAATCTCATTACATACTTTGTTAGATTTTTATATATTCCATATACTCTGTATCAAAGCGGTTAGCCCAATGCCATCATAAACTACCCAGTTCCATTGAGTTCAGATGAATTCAGCAACACGGGGAATCTTGACGCGCAACAGTTATCAGAACTTACCATGCGTTTATAATCTATTTCAGAACGTACCCCATGGCTACCTGCTAAATTCAATGACAAGAACAATACACACTCAGTGATATTCAATGATAACACCATATGACACCAACCCTCTGTGGGGACTGTGGTGGTGTGTATAAAATCAGTGTTTGTATATCTTCGAGTGGTTCTGGTTGACTCTGATGGCACCAAATTGAATGCCCAAATGCACATCAGAACTCATGCAAGATGTGAAAGCAGCACATGTCCTGTTGACAACAAAAATGGCACAACTTTCCGGTAGCGTCGCTGCAACAATTTGGTTGAACTCAGTTTTTTTCAGGACACTGGCGTCTAAGAGTCGGCTGTTGCAGTATTCTCAAATGAAATATAAACGCAACTGCAGTTGCCTACAGTTTCCAGAAACAGGACCAACTCAGCTTTCTGGGTAATCCTAATGATGGACAGATTGTGGCTGGCAATCCAAAAACAATATATTTAGCTATGTTCAACCAGTACCCTCTGGTAAACTAACATAGCTATGAAAATGGCCAGTTGATTTACGCATTAAAAATGGTGATGTTCCATAATTATGCTAGTTTACCAGAAGGTAAGTTTCAAATCTATAGTTTCCAGTCATTCTAAGTATTCCGCCAAGATTTCCCAGTCCCATGGTTCTAAATTGCCTACATGCTACGACGTTTTCACCCATCAATGTTATGATTATCCCATTATTATCCCATTCTCACTGACCACTATATATTCAATTCTAATAACTCCGCTAAGTAACCTATTCCATCCGTTAATTAATGATCATGTTCCCGATCAAAATGGTCATAACTAAGGTATACTGCATTTTCAAATACGCTCATATAGCCCATATGGTTGATTTTAAATCATATTATATATATATGTGTGTATATATATATACATATCCACATTGTCCTATGGTTGATAGTTGGGGATGGTTTATAGCATTGGTTTCACCACATTACCCAAACTTACCATTCAAATATCATCAAATATCATATTGGTTGTTATATACTGCATTAAACATATCCGCGCTGCATCCCTATGAAACCACCCTCTTCATCAGTTAAATCCCTACATAACCCAATCATTAAATCCTAATGAATATCATGTTGCTAAACAACATGTGCAACCCCCATATTTTATGGTTAAACCATGTTATACCGTTATACCATGGTTAAACCGCCAATGTTCCAAACAACGCCCCTGGATCCGGTCGAAAACTTCCAGCCCTGGAAGGGCTCTTCCAGGCCCCCGTGCTGTTCCCATTGGGGCTCCACCTCCGAAACCACAGACCCACTGGAGGAAGGGCCTGCGGATGTGGGTTGACCAATGGAGGCGAACGCTGTTTTTTTCACATGAACCAAAGGCGAAAGGATAGCATAGGCAACCTGACTTGGTTGAAACACCAACTATCATCCAACTTGGTAAGCTTTAATTAATCAGGCTCTAATCTGCTAATGTTCTTCGCCAACGATTGGTTCCTAAGCACTTTCCATCTCGGACGATGGCACATGGCGACCTCTGGGATCTGCAGGTGTTGACATGCAATCCAGTCAGTGTCGAAAGTGGGGTCCCCACATGCTTCTCCACTCATCAAAAAGGATGTTTCATTGTTTCATCCTATTTATATAGTAAGTAGGCTATGTACCCTCCATTAATCAAACCTGACAATCGAAATTTCCCCGTTTATAGATTAGTCTACCATTAAAGCCTTCCTTTAGATTTCCCATTGCTATGTTTCATTGCCGAAGGGTCCTTACTTAAAAATAGGATGAACCCGTGCCACATCCAAGTCGTTGGCGTCGATTGGGCAGCCCAATGGTCAAGGGGCAACCATCCCAACCAATCCGAATAATTGATACCCTCAAGATCAAACAAACCCCCTTGTCCGACATTTTAGAACCCCGGATCTGGGGTCTGGGATCGTTTTCCCTTAAAAAACCCAAGGTTTCCCAATTTGTGAACGGAGACGGAGACCATGCTAGAACCCCAAAGTGTACGGAGGGGTAGGGGTCTAGAATCGTTTTCCTGAAGCTATAAAATCATGGAAAATTGACACGGTTCTTTAGGGAATCTCCTTGTTATGATTTAACGCAAAATTTTGCGCTTCATTTGCACACAGTTTTTGTCCTCCCGTACGCATTGCACGGTTCAGGTCATCATAATGTTTTGGATTTTTCTGTTTTTGAAGGATTTTTTTTAAAGGCTGCGTCAGGCCCACCTTTTCCGGAAAATATAAGCAGCACCTTTTTTTACAGCAAGGTCGGGATGGATGCAAAAATCGATTGCAACCTTTAGGCCCCCTTTCCCCCCACAAAGACTGCGTCGTCCAGTCATCTTTTGAAATCACCCTCTTCCTTGTAAAACATATCTTACCGCATTACAGTCTGGCAAGACTATCGCATTGAAGGAAAGATTGCCTTGCCCATGACCAGTCTCAAAACTTCCTGGGCCATCAGTCTCTCCCTTTTCTTTGTTCTCCCAAAAATTCTCTATCAAATGTATTGCAGACGGATGTAAAATGCAGAAGCGATGTGACAAAATGGCTAAGTTTGGGTTACAGCTGGCCATCAGTCAGCACCTGTGGGTCTAAAATAGTTGCCTTCAAGCTTCAAGAAACATTTTGACACGCATTGACCTGGGGAAGATGATTATAGACCCGCGTCCTTCTTTCTATACGGTTTGGTTGAACCAAAAGTGCTGGTATCTAAAGAATGTGCAGAAGGATGTAGAATGCAGAAGGGATGCCAAAGGATGGCTAAGCGGATCAGCTGTCTTGTAGCTGGCCATCAGTCAGCACCTGGGGTTCTAGAACGGTGGCCTTCAAGCTCCAAAAGCATTTTGACACGCATTGGCCTGGGGAAGATGAGTATAGACCCGCGTCCTTTTTTCCAAAAGGTTTGATTGAACCAAAAGTGCTGGTACCTAAAGAATGTGCAGAAGGATGTAGAATGTAGAATGCCAAAGGATGGCTAAGCGGCTAAGTTGTCTTATAGCTGGCCATCAGTCAGCACCTGGGGGTCTAGAATGGTTGCCTTCAAGCTTCAAGAAACATTTTGACACGCATTGACCTGGGGAAGATGATTATAGACCCGCGTCCTTTTTTCCAAACGGTTTGGTTGAACCAAAAATGCTGGTACCTAAAGAATGCGCAGAAGGATGTAGAATGTAGAAGGGATGCCAAAGGATGGCTAAGCGGCTAAGTTTGGGTTACAGCTGGCCATCAGTCTTCAAGATCCCCAAAGCAGTTGACACGCACTGACCTGGGGAAGATGACAATAGACCCGCGTCCTTCTGATTGAACCAAAAGCGTTGGTACCCAAAGAATGTGCAGAAGGATGTAGAATGTAGAAGGGGCGCCAAAGGATAGCTCAGCGGCTAAGTTTGGGTTACAGCTGGCCATCAGTCAGCACCTGGGGGTCTAGAATGGTTGCCTTCAAGCTCTCCAAAAGCACTTGACACGCACTGACCTGGGGAAGGTGATTATAGACCCGCGTCCTTCTGATTGAACCAAACGTGTTGGTACCTAAAGAATGTGCAGAAGGATGTAGAAAGTAGAATGCAAAAAGGATGGCTAAGCGGCTAAGTTGTCTTATAGCTGGCCATCAGTCAGCACCTGGGGGTCTAGAATGGTTGCCTTCAAGCTCAAAAAAACATTTTGACACGCATTGACCTGGGGAAGATGATTATAGACCCACGTCCTTCTTTCCAAACGGTTTGGTTGAACCAAAAGTGCTGGTATCTAAAGAATGCGCAGAAGGATGTAGAATGCAGAAGGGATGTCAAAGGATGGCTAAGCGGCTATGTTGGCTTATAGCTGGCCATCAGTCAGCACCTGGGGTTCTAGAACGGTGGCCTTCAAGCTCCAAAAGCATTTTGACACGCATTGGCCTGGGGAAGATGATTATACACCCACGTCCTTTTTTCCAAAAGGTTTGATTGAACCAAAAGTGTTGGTACCTAAAGAATGCGCAGAAGGATGTAGAATGTAGAATGCCAAAGGATGGCTAAGCGGCTAAGTTGTCTTATAGCTGGCCATCAGTCAGCACCTGGGGGTCTAGAATGGTTGCCTTCAAGCTCCCCAAAAGCACTTGACACTGACCTGGGGAAGATGACAATAGACCCGCGTCCTTTTTTCCAACCGGCCTTGTTGAACCAAAGTGTTGGTATCTAAAGAATGGAGGTGTTGGGTGGAAACACGGAGGCGCATCACTGCAGGTTGTTCATCACAACTTGACCTGGCATTTGCTTTTTCCAAACAACATTGGCATTGTGTGGGAGGTTGAAGGTAATGGTGAGGCTCGTGTTTTTTCAATTGCGGATGTTGCCGGATATAATTCAATACCTTGTTTATCATTGCACATTGCTGCAGCTGCTCAACACCGTTTTAGCTCCTTTTTTCAGAAATTTCAAACGAAGCGACATTGAAACCACCTGGTTTTGAAAATGGAAATCTTGATCGACCAAAACCAAAGATGCTAATTCCAAACATGTTTTGCACCTTCGGGCAGAGACCTCATCACGACTTGGTTCCTTTTTCTGCACTCCAAAACAATGACCTTTCTTGTGGTCTGTTAGAATCAATCATACCACAACAAGGCTCATATATCCAAACTTTCAGGGTTCTAAAATGATAGCCTTTAAAAGTTCTAAAATCATAGTGGTGATGATTTTAGAACCTTCAACGGGAACCCCAAGGGGGTGGGGATTCTAGACACCTCGATCTTGAGGGTATAATAATTGCTGGTAACTCCAAAACATGACTAAAAGTGATATTCGAGGTCACTCTTGATGGTTTCACCAAACTTAATCCCATCCCCCTTTCATATTAAACACCCCCATGGCCAATGGTCTGCAAGACCATTATCATGCGATTGCCAGGATGATCGGAGATCGATGGCGTTGAATCACAGTGGCGGCGGCCCAGAGAGGTGTGGGGCCCAACGAAGCAAACCACTGACAGCCACTGCCATAGTCGCAGCTTGGTTGACCCATCTTGGCAAACCTCTCACTCCCAATCGCCTTGTGAACTTATCTGCCCAATGGCAACAGTTGTTGCTTAGAATGCCATACTCTGGGCAATCTTCCAAGAAGTCAGAGAGGATTTCTGCGATCTCTTCTGGGTTTTTCTGCATGTAGCTCCCGTGCCGGCTCCTGACCCAAACATGGCAACATCATTTACAACATCTACTGTACCAGGTGTGGGAAGTGCCAGAAAGGGAAAAGGGCCATGGTGAAGCAAAAAGGGAAAGACTGCCTGTGCGAGTCAATCCGCATGTCCAAAATATTTGATTTCATCCCCCACTAAACCATGGTTCCTGGGGGACAATCATTTAATCATTTACAGCCAGTAGCACATATCATTTGTCCAGCCATCAGATAACCAAAATCACCTAACCGCACTGGAACCCAGGAGGCCAAGAATGATTTCTTCACGCGAAGCTTCTCCGGAATTGGTTAAAGGGAGAATAATTACACAGGAACCCCCCTTTGTCAGCACTTACAAAAGTAGAAAACCAAGGTTTTTTTTTCCGGAAAACTGGAAAGCCCGCAGATTTTTCCGGAAGAGGCTGGATGCCCCAAAAACACCAAAATCGAACCTCCAGAGCACGAGGCCATCGTCCAATCGCCGTTCCATCAGTAAACGAAGTTGGGCCTTGAAGGGATGGTATTCAATGACTTTGACGAATGGGGTTTCAATTCAAAGTGCCAAAGAAACCAACAAACATATACAAAAATGACAATGATCCTGTCACTGAATTAGCCTTACAAGGACAATTTGACATGGGTGACTTGTACTCAGACTATGACTGTCAAAAAAATGGATTCGGATACTGTAGATCTCGTTTGTTTTTCCAGAGACATGATAACACACATTCCATGTCTGCATATGTGCCATTTTCCCCACCCAGATCTGGCTCAAACATTGTCCCCTAAGGAAAACAATTGGGGATTCCCTAAGGTTTTGGTATGTTTACTGGAGGGTTCGCCCCCAAAAACGGGGCTGGGTACAAGGTGCACAGTTCTGTTTCTTGGTTTACAATCTGGCCAAATATATATATATATATATAATATATATATATAATATATATATATAATATATATATATATATATAGATACTACTAAATCCAATCGTTGAATTTATGACCCGAACCAAATTAGTCAACATAGACCAAACACAAGTCCTCTTTCGGTTGCTGAAAAGTGGCCATCAAATGGCTGGGTAAGATACCAATCTCCAACTTCGCAATTCCGACTTGCGGCACAGCAGGTAAATTCCAATATCCCCAGGCATTTCTTGTTTCATTACAACATTTTCTTGATGAAATGCCATTACATCAACAATTCTCTTGATGAACAACTCCAAAAATTCACATTTTTGGGTGATGAAGCCTCATTCAATCACCATTTTTCTTGGTAAAATTCCATAGTTGTTTTTTCCGATTGTATAGATCCCACAATAAGATTATATCCCCACCCCAACAAATTGTGCATATCCCACTTACCCAACTTCTGTTGGGCTTTAGTAGTCCATAGTTAGTTTTTTATTTGACTATTTGACTATAGTTGCACTATATCAAAACACAACTATATCCTTTATACTATATAGTAAATACCAGATAGTAAATACTGTATACGGTGGACTATATATTGCTATATTACTATATTACTATATTACTATATTTACTATATTAAACTATTACTATTTTACGATAGTACTGTATTACTATATTACTATATTACTACATTACTATGTTACTATATTACGAAATTACTATATTACTATACTACTATATGATTGTATTACTATATAACTATACTACTATATTAGTATATTAGTAAATAGCGACCTACTAAAACGTAGACTGCCCAATTTTCCAAAACGATGTGACTAAATTTAGAATGCCTATTTTTGCCTATTTTTAAGGGTGTATTGAATTCCGGCCCAATTTTCAAGGTAACATTCTAAGTTACCACTACTACTACTACTACTGCTACTACTACTCCTACTACTCCTACTACTCCTACTCCTACTCCTACTCCTACTAAAACTACTACTACTACTACAACTACTACTACTACTATTACTACTACTACTACTACTACTACTGCTACTACTACTACTGCTACTACTGCTACTACTGCTACTACTACTACTACTACTTACTACTACTTACTACTACTTACTACTACTTACTACTACTTACTACTACTTACTACTACTTACTACTACTTACTACTTACTACTACTTACTACTACTACTACTTACTACTACTTACTACTACTTACTACTACTTACTACTACTTACTACTACTTACTACTACTTACTACTACTTACTACTACTTACTACTACTTACTACTACTTACTACTACTTACGACTACTTACTACTACTTACTACTACTTACTACTACTACTTACTTACTACTACTTACTTACTACTTACTACTACTTACTACTACTTACTACTACTTACTACTACTTACTAACTACTTAACTACTTACTTACTACTACTTACTACTACTTACTACTACTTACTACTACTTACTACTACTTACTACTACTTACTACTACTTACTACTACTTTACTACTACTTACTACTACTTACTACTACTTACTACTCACTACTACTTACTACTACTTACTACTACTTACTACTACTTACTACTACTTACTACTACTTACTACTACTTACTACTACTTACTACTACTTACTACTGCTACTACTACTACTACTTACTACTACTTACTACTGCTTACTACTACTTACTACTACTTACTACTACTTACTACTACTTACTACTACTTACTACTACTTACTACTACTTACTACTACTTACTACTACTTACTACTACTTACTACTACTTACTACTACTTACTACTACTAACTACTACTAACTACTACTAACTACTACTACAACTACTACTACTACTACTACTACCACTAACACTAAAACTACAACTGCAATAACTGCCACTACAATTACAGCTACAACTACAACCACGACGACAACAACGACAACAGCGACGACTACGACTACAACTACAACTACACTGCAGCAACAACTGCAACTACAACTACAACTACAGCTGCAACTCAACTAAACTAAACCACACTACAACTCCAAACAGAACTACAACTACAACTACACTAGGCTACAACTACCACTACACTCCACTACACTACATCCAGCAGTTGTGGGTGAGGTGACCACTGCAACCACTCCAAAAAGCGCAGCTCCAACTACCTTTCGGTCCATCAATGGATTTGCTCTGCCATCCCTGCATGACAACAACTGACCTCTCCTATAGCTTCTTATCTTTGAAACTTCCGCCACCGCCTTGTGCGATACTATTGGCACTTATTACCATATTATTTTTTTCACTATATACCTATATATATATATACATACATACACCTATTTACTATATTCTATTTACTGTACTGTACTATACTATATATAAATCATATATATATATTGAGGTTTCCTAAGTCATAGGGCTACCCTCATAGCGTCCCGGCCCAGGAGTCGTCTGGCACGGGATGATGGCGCGCCAGGGCGCTGCGGAGCAACTCCTGGAAATGGACAAAAATGGCTGGGAACAGACCAGCACTAACAAAAGGGATTTCATGGAGATTCAACCATCAACAATAAGGTTCTAATTGGATTTAATGAGATTTAGTGGGATTTTATGGTGATTTAGTGGGATTCAATAGTGATTTACAGTAATGGGATTTTTGAATATTTTTGATGGAAACTTGACAGTCAATGGATTGTTTTCTTGGAAAAATGACAGGAACCACCCATAATCCATATGAATCATAGGAAAACCGATGGTTTCCGGTAGGTTTTCCCTTAAGCCAATCCATTGAGTTATGGGATAATGGGGATAGAACTGGATATATGGGATGTGTAATAGTAAAACAACACAGATTTCAACATGTCGGGTCTTTTAGTGGTGTCTTAAGGGGATTTCACAGCATTGAAACAACTAAAAATGGTGTTTTTTCATGGGATTTAATGATGTTTGAGTGGTATATTTATTGGTTATATTATATTACTGGTGCATGTTAACAAAGCACTAGTAAACCATTCACAATTTTACCATGTTTATGGCTCGTATAAACAATCAAAATATGGTTACTACGCTCCGGTAATCAAACATGGCTCGCTGGAAAAACCACCATTTCTATAGTTCGATAATTGTCCCAGCTAGAAACCTCCATGTTTGTAAGGGATGTCCCAGCTAGCCATGTTTGATTGCTGGAGGGTACCCTAGCGAAACTAACAAAACGATGTGGACAACCCATGGCTTCCCAAGGAAAATGATCTAAACATGGTTTTTGTTCAGCATCTATGTCAGTTTACCCTAGAGGATTGGTTATACGAAAATAGTATCTGGTTGGTGGTTGAGCCACCCCTCTGAAAAATATGAGTTCGCCAGTTGGGATGATAACATTCCCAATATATGGAAAGTCATAAAACATGTTCCAAACCACCAACCAGGCATTTGATTTATGATTTATTGACTACTGGTATTCTATTGGTTGTTGATTATGTGGCTGGTTGGAAAATGCCTGGTCACTACATGGAGGTTTCGTTCGCTGGGAAAATCCCAGTACATGGCGTTGATTATGGGGAAATCATCGTTTGCGACATAGCTTTTGATAGAAATAGTACCAGTGATAATTTACTAATCACATGTAATTATTTGATTATATGGTCAGTTCAGTAGTTTACTATAACTATAACCATTGGCATACGAAAGATATGCGGAACAACAGTATAATAGTTTAATATATCCCAGGGAAAATTTACTGGGAGATTTACTGGAGATACTAGTAATTCATTCCATGATTAAAAGGGGTATTATATGCCAGTCATCAATATTTACCAATATTATCTTATCAGTAATTATTGAAATGTGTCTAAGACTGGAGGATACCCAAAAGTCACCATCTTAAAATACGGGAAATGATGATTCACATGGGGAAAGCAATGATAAACCCTCAAACTTAGGGACAGCTAAGAATCAAAATATTGACGGTCGAGATGTGAATATCTTAATAGTATCCCAAATCTTACTAGACATATATATATATATATATTAGATATACCATAGTAGATAAAACATATATAGATAACTGACTATCTCAATAGTATTCCAAATCTGACTACCATAATAGATATACCACAATTCAAATCTTATCTCAGTAATAGATACAACTATCCCCATCTACAAAAGGTGGACATTTTTTCCGAACTTTTTTGGAACCCTCTACAACATATCCAATACCCCTCAGCAAACTACGTATAGATTCCGTTTAGATATGGGAAATCCATCATACAGATCATTTCCGAAGAGCCCCATGGATTTCCAGAGCTAGAATGTAAAACATACTGGAGGAATATTAAAACAAAACAATATTATAATATATATATATGTTATACACATATCACAATATGATATACTTGGGGAATCTAGATGAATCTAGGGGATACATTGACTAACAAAATAGATATGATGGGAGCCGAGGATCATTGACCATTTTAACTGCAGGGATGTATGGGTTTGACTGGAAATGGGTTATGAGACCCACCACTTCGGGGGGATATGTATATAACAAACCGTATGGGATATGAATGGATATGATGTGATATAGGAAATGGGCTTGTCCGGATAGGATATACCCCAAATGACAAGTTGCATGGGGCAAAAAAAATAACCACTATGTTGGGACAACATTGTACTGATTTGACAATTCGGTTGAAAAATCCAGTGACCTGTTTTGATTATTTCCATAAGAAACAAAACAAAAAAACAATTGTGGGATATACCCTATCTTGATCTCAGAAATGTCACTTTCCGAAAAATAGGACATCGACCAGCTCGTTGTCGGGTTCATGTCTACCCCATCTTTGAGCCCCTTTTTTGTCCAAAAACCGTATGCCCAAGACTAACCGCTCACTTTCCGCTGATGAAACATAGCAATGGACTATCACCCATTTTAAAGAGGATGTTCCCGTGAAAACATGTTCGCTGTAACCCTGACGTTGCTCCGCGCCGGAATTGTGGAAAGGTTGCGTATTTTTGAAATGCCATGCCGGGGGGCTTTCGATATGTACATGTAAATGTGATCCATGATGATCATCATCGTCATCGTCACAGTCATCGTCGTCGTCGTCGTCATCATCATCATCATCATTCCTTATGAAGATAAGTTGGTGCTATGATCAGGTTCAGCATATTTGTCATAGAGGTGGTGGAATTGTTCAGCCCTTCTGAAGATAAGTTGATGTTATTCCTTTTTCAACCTAATTGTCAGAGGGAGTGGTGGATGTGTTGATCCCTTTTGAAGATAAGTTGATGTGACTACCCCATTTAGCATATTTGTCAGAGGGGGTGGTGGATGCTTTAACCCCATAAGTTGATGTTAGTCATTTTCAACATATTTGTCATAGGGGGTGGCGGATGTTGATCTCTTATGAAGATAAGTTGATGTGATTGCCACGTTCAGCATATGTGTCATGGGGGGGTGGTAGATTTTGTTTGACCCCTTATGAAGATCAGTTGATGTTATTGTTGTCATTCCTTGTTCAACATATTTGTCAGAAGGGGTGGTGGATTTGTTAATCCCTTTTGAAGATAAGTTGATGTGATCATACCATTCAATATATTTGTCATAGGGGGCCGCGGATTTAGGATCCCTTGTGACTAAAAGACATTTAAGTTGGTGGTATTACCCCATTACACATGAGTTGCCACTGGTGATGATGATGATTATGATGATGCTGCTGCTGATGATGATGATCATGACAATGTTCCTGAACATGAAAATGATGGTGAGGATGATGATGTTGATGATGATGTTGATGATGTTGATGATGATGACATCATGATGATGATGACATCATGATGATGAGGATGGCATGATGATGATGATGACGACGACGACAACATCATGATGATGATGATGACGACGACAACATCATGATGATGATGATGATGATGATGACATCATGATGGTGATGATGATGACATCATGATGATGATGTTGATGATGATGATGGCATGATGATGATGATGATGATGACGACGACGACGACGACGACAACATCATGATTATGATAATGATGATGATGATGATGATGATGATGATGATGATGAGAAGTGTAAGTGTGGAGCAACGTCCGGGTTGGACGGAACATGTTTAAACCACAATTATTGCTGCTTTTTAATTTCCATGCTTGAATGCCGGAGGGTAATCATCACATTCTCGAAATGTTGAAATCCATGGTATACGCCATTTCTGGACAAACTTATTCTCCATTATGTCTCTTAAGTCACATACTGTTAGTTAATATATCCTATGAAGTCCCCAGCATATCCTCATTATTCCCCATAAAATATCCCAATGTTCCATGGTTGGTTTATATCCCTATGATATCCCACCAAAAATGACAAACTCACCACCGTGCCCTGCCCAAAGTGGAGTGAATTCTGCGCCTCACTCACGGCTTCTCCGTCTGCTGCGGCTTGAACCGCCTCTGCCGGTTCCATGTCCCAGTTAGTCATGTGGAAACCATGTGAATAAATTATAATATTTCATTAACTGGGACATGGAACCATGGTTTCCACATGGGGAATATTAACATGACTTCAACATTAATGAATTAACATGACCCTTATAATTTCCCCAAATTAATTATTTCATTAACCTGAATTAAGGCCATTTGGGGATCATTTCCCTTACTAACTATGATTCCAGTGAGGGAGAACAGTGAGGTCGTTATAATTTACCCAGAAACCATGTGAATAAACCATCCCGGAAAAAGATGAGACAATTGGGCATACTTGTACTGAAGGCTTGATGACTTGATGACTCGTGACCCCCATAAAAAGGCCGGTGAGTGGCATGTTTTGTTATTGGGTTGCACATTGAATGATGTTGTGACCCATATATATATATATATAACCGGGGATGTGTCATGTATAACACAACTGGCATAATCACATAATGTATATAGTTCCCACTTGCTGACTGGAATGCTCGGACAAGAAGCCTTGTCAGCGCCTGCAATGCAAGTAACCACAAGGTGGTACCCCCCAGTTATAAGTTGGTTTGTAAACCATAGTAAGTATAGATATATCTACCATAAATCATAGTTATTGGAGTCATTTGCACCAACTTAGCTAAGTATTGTGGACATTTCTCAAGCCTGGTACGCCCGCCAAAGCTGGGCTGTTGATTGCGCGATGAAACTTGCAAGCCACCAGGGAACCGAACAGATCGCAGGATTACAAGCTGGGTATACCCATTGAGTTTGATGATTCACCAACATGGGAATTGTCCATATTTTTGTCTACGAAAGTTTGAAAGGGATCTAAAGGGTATATCATATCAAACTTCAACATATTACAAAATACTCATTATGAAAATAAGAACAATGATAACAATAGCAATCATACATAATTGAATTTACACCAAACATATAAAGTCAAGATCATATACAGTACCAAAAACCATGTTTTCACGTGACCACTTCGAAGCACCCACAGATTTCCAGGGCCGAGCCTCTGCCACAGTGCATTCCTGAGCCTCATGCGCAAGTTGCATCCTCTGCGCCACAAAGTCTTGTGCCCAACGTTCCTGGCAGCACCAACGCGACATCAAGTTGATATCTATTAGGATATTTAAATATATATGTATAATAATATATATTTATAATATATTACACCAATATACATATCAAGTTTAGATCTATGGATGATTATATTTATTGGAATACAATAGGAATCCCATGGAAATACAATGCGATTTTTTTAAAGTGGGGTCCAAAAAATCCCAAGGTTTCGCATCACTGGATTTCCCATTGGTCGAAACTCAAAACATGTCAAAACCTCTGGTGAATCCCAGATCAGTGGCAAATGGATGTTCATCCCCCCGAAAAAGGGATACCCTCTGGTTATGACTAACAGTTCGCCATGGTTTTTCGATGGCCCTAATCGAAATAGATGGTTTACCGTTCTTAATAGCATGGTGGATCTGTCCATGGCAAACTGTGAATGTCACTTAGTCATAACCAGATGGTAGGTTTTGGATGACCCAGGGACCCATTGAAGTGACAATCATGGGACAAATCCATTCTGGTTGGTGGTTTTTCGCCACCCCTCTGGAAAATATGAAAGTCAGTTGGGATGATGACATTCCCAAGATATGGAAAAATAAAACAACAAATCATCAAAATGTTCCAAACCACCAGCCAGCATTTCATTCCATTTCCCGTGCCAACAAAATCTGCGATGTACAAGAACATCTCGGGTCAGTCCATTACATACTAGTATACCACACAAAAACATACACATTCTCAAAACCCATGGATAGTATCGTGGAAACATCTCCATACTTGAATCCACACTCACATGTTTGGTGGTTCACTTGTTGTTAGTCCTTCCCACTCATCGCACATATTATTGATGATGATGATGATGAAGAAAATGAAACATTCGAAACACTCTTCAAAGTACCAAACAGCAAATGCTTCGGATTCTGGTTGATGAGTTCAACTGTTCACCTGCTGATGACACCCCGGAAAAGTAACATGTAAAGCACCAAAAAGTGGCCTCTTTAAGGGAAACTGCCCCCAAACCGTCGCCTCTGGAACGCCCCTGGCACTGGTGCGGTTCACCTGAATCGCTGCTTCGAAATGGCACCCCAGTGGTGGTCTATGGGAAATTCTCTGGGAAAAGCATCTAGAAATAGAACTTGGTATGGGTCGATGCTTTTTTTTTGATCAAAAATAGATCAAGAAGGGTTTGATACCAAACATGACCAAGTTTTTGCTTGCAGGGGGTCCCCTATCTTTAACTCCTCCCTATTGTACCAACCTGCAAAACACAGTTATAAACTCCTATGGTAACCTTCAGGGAACAAGGCTTTGGACCCATGCAGGCCCAGGAGTTCCAATTCTTTGGCCCCGGCTTGCAAACTACAAAAACACACAAAAGCGCGACGCACTTGTCTCTTTCCATCTGACTGCAACCATCCTACTTTTGGATTCGGTTTCCCATGAAGAAGATCTTGAGATTATGTATAGCATCCAATGATTCCTCAAATTGAGACTGCCTCTCTCAGCTCCGGTACAAAACAAACAAACAAACACATTTTTTTTTTCTCTCTCTCTCTCTCGCTATCGTTCTATGCAAACACCACCGATTCTTGGCCATATACACTTCCTGGTTGCGAATGGCCGATGGCCACACTATACAAAGTCCGGTTATATGTAAGCTACGAGGTTTTTCTCTCGTTATGGCACTTGGCATCATCAAACAACACCCGAAGAACCATTGGTAAAAAAAAAAACATCATATAATATCATCAAAATACTCAAATAAATCATCAAAAACACACAAATATTGGTTTAAACAAATGCGCACCAACCAAGCCCCGCCTCCGCAGCAATTGCCTGGCAATCCAACAAACGCTGGCATGGCTGACTCACTCCCCGATGTTTTGGGCTTCTTTTTGGGTGAATCTTGACCAAAAACATGGCCGAAACCAAGGAGGGGTCACCGAAATAGGAGGGGTTGGTTGGATACCCATGAAAACATGGCTGACATAGCTGAAAAAAACATCCAGGTGGCGAGCTCCATATTTTCGAGTTTGAACAACTCGCTGATTTTCGTCATGTGAGGTCATTCCAAAGTCGCGATGGTATCAGGGCAAATATCCTGTTGAAATTGGCTTCCCATAGCCATACCTGTTCTTGCATGGTTGATGTTCGATGCCCTGCAGTATACCTTTTTGCTGGTTGGTCTATTCTCTCTCAGCATTGCAATTTATTTAGCCCACCGAGCTTGTGGAATGATTCTATACACCCCACTCTTTAGTGCATAATCCCGCCATGGTTTATCATTTCTTGATGCTTCATTCATCTAACCCCAATCTCGACTCAGTTTCATTCCCAGCTACTGAAAAAAATGCTGGTCACTACAGTACATATTCCGCCCTTTTGATAGCAACAAGGTGGTACCCCCCAGTCATGATTGTTGGTTTTATAAACCCCATTAACTATGTCAATATATCTACCATAAATCCTAGTTAAACTGCTGCACTAAACATCACTAAACTAAATTATAGCAAATTAATGCTGCTTATATATGGGGCACCACCTTGCTATATACTCCAGCATATTCCAAATATATGACCATATATTCCAATTCTGCATCCATTATATCCTCATTAAACGGTTGGTTTCATTCCCAAGTTTGTTGATTAAATCCCATCAAATCACCTTGAATCCAACTGTGGGATAACCTAGTTTGATAATTTCATGATACCCATAGGATCCATGTATGCTATATATGGTAACATTTATCATCAATCTACCCCAAATGTTAGCATATATACCATACATGGATCCTATGGGATATATCATGGCCGACACTTCGACAGGTACAGATGTAAAGCGCACGTTTCCTTGGTGGCTTGGTGGCGTGGTGACAGATGTCTGGCCTCGATACCTGCCAATACCTCTCCGCTTCGAGTTTCAGATTCTTCTTTTAAATGCTGTGTTTCAGCGGCTTCAGATCAAATTGTTCATGGGTCATTAAATGTCCCCATTGAACATCACCCAACCATTAGGTATATGGTCTATAATGGCTACGATAAGCTGATGTCCAATATTCCCAAAATGGGACAGTTACCAACCCCTGAATTGTTCCACTTTGGAAACAAAAAAAAGGGAGAGTGAGGGCGGTTCTCCTCAATGAAGCCACACTTGTCAGCGCTAGCTGATTGACGAATCTTCTGTTCGTATTGTTTTCCGGCCTTGGAGACAAACAATGCGACCTTCCCCAGAAACAGTTGACGAAGGCTCCCCAGAAACTCGGCTTCGGCACCTTCGATAAATATATACTGTAGAATGTGTAAATCCCATGCCTAATGTGTTAAATATCTACTGTAAATATACCATATCTACTGTAAATCCCATGCTGGTGTTAAATGTGTTAGCCTATTCCTCCACTCTCTTTCGAAGCTGCGCTTCCACCCTCGCCTCAGGTGAAATGGCGCCAGCGCCAGGACCACGAGCCATGGCGGCGTGCAGCGCTGTGGCCTGGTACAGCCCCAAGGGGGCGGCCGCGAGAAAAAACGGGACTCGTCGTGTACAGCTTGAGTATTGTACACAAATTCACTGTATAATAATTTGAGGGGCTCGAATCCAAGGCGGGCTACATATTTTCAGCTATACGCCCTGGAATAGGATTGCCAAATTCTTAAATTACTGCTTATATATACGTGAGGTTTGCAATTCCCCTTGCGGTTCATTTCTTTGTGGTGTGACCCCTTATGGTCTTATGGGATGAAGTCGGGCTTTGCAGAAAAACAGCTCCGCAAAAATGTGTTTTTCCGCGCTACTCTTTGCAACTCGGCTTTGCAAAAAAAACAACTTTTCAGGCTCTAAAAAAGGTTTTATTCCACACTGCTCATATGAAACTCAGAGAAGCCCGGCTTTGCATATGCTTTGCATAAAAACATTTTTTCAGGCTCTAAAAACATGTTTTTTCCACACTTCTCTTATGAAACTCAGACAAGCCCGGCTTTGCAAAAAAAAAATCAGGCTCTAAAAAATTATCTTTTCGCATGCCTCTTGTCAAATTTTAAGCTCGCTCCAAATTGTGCAGATGCATGCAATACATAACTAAGAATGCTCTAAGAATTTGAGGGACCTTCGGCCTATTGTGGTGTAGATTTGCCTGCATTTAAAAATAAGAATTTGAGGGACCCTGGGCCTCAAGCTTTCGCATTCTTAACCAGCTCTCGGGCTGTATAGGATAGGACCATTGAATAGCTCTTCATTCTTATCACTTGGGATATACATCAACCAACCAACCAGTAGGAAAAGGACCGTTCAAAAGTCTTTGGTGACATAGCAACCAATACCCTCTGGTAAACTAACATAACTATGGAAAATCACAATTTTTCATGGGAAAATCCACTATTTCAATGGCCATTTTCAATAGCTTTTTGTTAGTCATAACCAGAGGGTAGCAACCAACCACCGTTCCTGGAAAAGGTCCGTTTTCGCCTCATGGCGACTGAAGGGTAGGGAGAGGCCGCGACAGGCGTCCAGCCAAGCTTCCAAGGTGAGGCCTACAATGCCCCGGCTGTAGACCTCGCAACTGGACCAATCCCCAGGCGAACTGACCACCAGAAATTTATCATATTTTTTGAAGCGCCAGGAAGCAACATAAGGGACTTAACCGCCAAGAATATCCCAGGGATAGGGGATGTTGATTTAAGCAGCACATGTGATGTTGAATTGTTGGAAAATTGTTTCAGTGGATGCCCGAAATATAGCCCCAAAGTTCTAGTGTTTCAACCGCAACTGTTCGTTTCATCCATTTCTGGGATCAAAAACATCATTGGCAACGAGAAAGTACCCTCTGGTAATTTAACATAGCTATTGAAAATGGCCATTTATAGTGGATTTTCCCATTAAAAATGGTGATTTTCCATAGTTATGTTAGTTTACCAGAGGGTAGAATCACTTTCTAGCAAGCTGAATGACGAAGTTCCATGGCCAATCTTGGACGCTCCTACATTTTTCAAGAGGCTGGTTAGTAGATATCTCAAGCAGTGTAGTAGCAACAAATCAACAGATTATCATATAAAGTGTTGAACTACCCTTCACCAGGTGTCTTCCCATACGTTCATGATTCAATCCCAATGTTTATTTGATACCTCTGGTAATTCAACATAGCTCTGGAACATGTCTCATGTATGATTTATAGTTGATTTAGCTTTTCAAAAAATATTTCCATAGTTACGTGAAATTACCAGAGGGTAAAGCCCCATGTTTCATGGACCATCCATCCACTCAGTTTCTCCAGAGCGCTTCCTAAGTTCCCGGCATTCAGCGCCTGTGCCAAGGGCAACTTGCTCTGACCCATGGCGCGCGCCAGACCTTTGATCTCGTCCATGGTCACTATTTGGGGGTGGTTTCCAAAAACCCTGCTGTTGTAGTGGATCATGGCACATGGTGCTACATCTATTCTATGCATTGCAACTCTTGAATACCCTGTATGTTTACCTTTATGGCTTCCCATTATGTTTGTCTTTAGCTGATCAGTACAGTATATTTCCCTAGCTTTAGCAAAAGATTAAGTTGTACCAAAGTACCCATCCAAGACAAACCCAGTATATCCTCAAGTTGTGCCGTTGCTATGGGTCAACTATGATAATTCACTAACTTGATTTAAGGCCAACAATCTTCGCTGGCGCCGATTTGGGGATAGCTACCCCTACTAGCCACCATTCCAGTGACATCACAAGTAAGGTTGTTATGATTCATTCAAATGCATGTCCCGATAATATACCCTCCGGTAATTCGGGATATAGCTATGGAAACCATGACCCATTTATAATGCTTTTGCCTCTTAACATGGGGATTTCCCATAGCTATGTTAGTTTACCAGAGGGCACACTCCCATTTTTCTTAGTGACAATCAAGGCTTTGGGAGCTTCCCCAGGTTGGTTTCCCCAGCTGCCAAAGCACGGCTCAGTAAGGCTGGAAGGGATGCCACTGCATCGGACACCTCTTGCGTTACCACCTGCCATGGTGACACAGGGATATTCATGGGGGCCCTGGTCACTCCAACATATATCATGTGGATGTGGGTCAAAATGGAAGACCTAGGGGACCACAGATGTTAGTCTAGTTTAGTATTAACCATCCAATTATTGGGGTACCCAATTTTGACCCATACCCATGTATGGGATTCCAAAAATAATGATGCAAAACCCATACAGAATCCGGTAAACATCTGGGAAAGGCTAAAGGCTTGGGCTTGGTACTTGAAAATTGAGGCAACAAAAACACTGGATTCAGAACCTCGTTTTCCTTGTTAACATGGCGATGACTTGGGGGTTGATGCTCACTGAGCACAGACAGGCTTTCCCGTCCTGCAGATTGTCAATTTCCCCACTTGGGCCCACAAAATGAGTAGATACGAAACTCAACCAGGGGTTCAACGCGGGTGTTTAACGGTCATCCGCAGGAACTACAACATCCAACTATATAGTGTTGATTGAAATCCAATACTTGGTGTATTCCCGTCAATAAGGAATGACAGAATAGCAGTAAACTATACCACCATTGTACTCCATTGCCAATTTATATCTTATTTGTGATTTGTACCCACTGATATCCAAATATGGCATAAAATGGGTGGAATTACTTGTATGCAATGGTATTACATTCCTTTTAAATATGGGATGTCATCTGTTTGATATACACCATTTACCAACTGATGTCAAGATTGTACAAAACTGATGGAGTGCCACAACAAATTGAACAATCATGATCAATGGATGGACATGTCCATTATATTGTATGTAAAACATTGTAAAACATTGTAAAACCATTATATAAATACAATTCTATATTCTTTGATATGCTTTGTGATACATGTGAATATATAATATATAATTACATGCGCATATCTTATGAAATACCGTCTGGTAAACTAACATAACTATGGAACATCACCATTTTTAATGGGAAAATCCACTATAAATGGCAATTTTCAATAGCCATGTTAAATTACCTTATGAAATAGAAGGAAAATCCACCTGACCTCCAGGGCGGCACCTCGCGTTGAGGTTCCAAGGCTCGATGGAATTCCTCGCGAGACACACCGCCGTCGCCGTTCTTATCCTGGCACCGCGGAGGCTTTCGCACCGGCTACGGCAAAAAGGGTGCCCCACAGGGAGCTAAGTCGCGATTTGTTGGATTTGTTGCTTCTGTTCTCAGTACTGTACCGGTAACTTAAGTCGGATTTATACTGCTTGGTGGTTTCAACAACCCCTCTGAAAAATATGAGTTCGTCAGCATGATGAAATTCCCAATATATGGAAAAAAAGAACATGTTCCAAACCACCAACCAGATAGTATATAGTGAATGAAAATAGCAGATGCATCAAACTAGTGAATTGGTTAATGAATCGACAAACATAACTGGATGCATCACCTTGTATCCAGAACTGAACGCTGAGGAGATAGCCAGGAACAAACAAAAAGTCAATTGCTCAAAACCACCATTTTCAATCATTTTCAGGTATCCATTTTTTAGGGCAAAGTCATACTTCGAGGCTTTGCGGCATAGCTTTACCTGGGGTACCAAAGCCATATTGTGCCATGATCACAAGCTGGTCATCCATCTACTGGGAATCCAAACATCATGACCATCTCTCAAGACCATATCCCATCATATCCGCAGGAAAAAAAAAATCTATCCCAATACTGTAAGTATTCCCGTAGAATTCTCGAGTTTAACTCGTATCATTTCATATATTTCATGTCCCATGTTTGTCCCATCCTTACATCATATGGGTATGGGTCAAAATTAGGTACCCCAAAATTATGGATGGTTAATACTAAACTAGACTAACATCTGTGGTCCCCTAGGTCTTCCATTTTGACCCACATCCATATCATGTTGCCATCGCAACGGGGAAAAAAACTCAGCCAGTTGCACAAAGAGCTGCCACAGTCGCCGCAGTTGTCCATCCGTCAGGGTGGGGTCCAACCTAGGCGAGGCTAGCTGAAAAATGGAGTTTTATAGCTGGGGAAAAAAAAAACATGGGAAAATCATGGCAACTATAGGAAATCTATGGAAATCTCCTAGAGGTATCTATAAATGGATATAAAATGATATAAATGGAGGTTTATAGCTGGGAAAATCATCTATATAGATGATTATAAATTATAAATGAATATATGATATATCAAGGGTGGATAATGGTGGATTTGCCAGCAATGCATGTTTGATTACCGGAGGGTAGCAACTTCTCGGGAAAATCTATAGGAAGTTTGCTGCATATACAATTCGCACCCACATTTTTGATATTGATCCATAATCAATGGTCGTTCCAGGATCCTAAAATGGAGGTACTGTACCGTATCAGACTTGTAGCCAGTGACACAATCCCATCCTTGTTTCCCACTGTTCCCGCAGTGTCGAGTATGAACCACATTCTGTACTTTACATCAGAATAAGATTGAAAATGGAACATTTTGGAACAAAATTTGGATCACATTTTGGATCACATTTCTCCAAAGGTGGGGAGAATGGAACACACAAACTTACACCCACTGGGATCCCAAATTTGTCTCCATGATCGGCTGAAATTGGCTACCTCCAAATCTGGGCTTCGTCATCAGTATCCCTTTCAAGGGGTATACCCCATTTTCAAATCAATTTGGTTGATGATCTATCCCACCATAATAAATCGTGTATATATCATATATATATCATAATAAATGGTATATTCCATTCCATTTCAAGGGGTATGCCGGTATGCCCCATTTTCAAAAATCATAATCCATTTGGTTGATGGCGCCCGATGGCCATGGCATCATGGCGCAACGAACAGACAGGGCGCCCTGCGAAGAAACACTTCGGACACTTCCAGTCACCCTCTGGTAAATCAATCATCAATGGTAATCAAATATATAACACACCAGAAGTGTTTGAATATATCACCATATATCAATATAGCAAACTGGAACATCACCATATATCACCGTCTGGTAACTTGGGGAAATCAACTAATGAAAAAAATGGGCCATTTTCCCACCAATATCAATCTGCCATCTTCCATTAATATAGAAAACATATCAATATGTCATAATCCCCCCATGATATCCCCATTATACCACCATTTTCATCCGCGTTCCTCTTGCTCAATCTATTCGTTTCCACAAAACCTGAGGAGCTCACCGGGCAAAGAGCCCCCGGAAATCTTGCCAGTGAATCTCCGCGCGGCCACCTTTGGTGCCTGCAGAAAACACCCTCTGATCACCTTCAATAAGTCGGGAGACGTCGGGAGATGTCGGGATATGGGGCCCGTATAATTATACTGCTTGGTGGTGACTTAACCATTTTGAAAAATATGGAAGTCAATGGGAAGGATCACATCCCATATATGATGGAAAATAATCCAAATGTTTGAAACCACCAACCGAGATATGGGTATCCTGTATCCTGGCTGGGGGTATGTTTAAAAAATAGCAGAATCACTGAAGACTTTGGAAAAATTCTTCCAGATTCTACAGAGTTCCATCTGTCCAATATTTTCCCAAATGGGGGTACCTAAAACGGGTACCCCGTACCCCCATATCATCCATGTTCACCGTATTTTCCACTATAAACCATCCATTTTGAGGTACCCTCTGGTAATTTAACATAGCTATTGAAAATGGCCATAGAAATAGTTGATTTTCCCATTGAAAATGGTGATTTTCCATAGTTATGTTAGTTTACCAGAGGGTACCATTGTAGGAAACCTCCATATCTTTCCCATTTTTGTCCCACGTCTTTCCGAAACGTCCATCGTTTGAAGGGCGCCTGCCAAGGCCTCGAACAAGTCATCCACGCTGCGGTTCTCCCGCTGCAGCGCCTCTGCAGAAGAGATATATCTCTCGCTGGGTACCTAATCGCTAATCATTAATATATATATAATGATCAAATCATTAATGATACATGGTCATATGACATAATCAATGATATGATATATGGTCATATATATATAATGTTATATATTATATAATGTTATATAATGTATATCATGTGAATTGGAACATAAAATATGATTGCTATGGTCTATGATTCTGGTCTACATATGGTTTTCCAGGTCATCCCGTGAAATGAGACCCAGAGAGAATCCATGGCCTTAAAATGTACTGCTTGGTGGTGACTTGACCATCGTGAAAAATAGAACTTCGTGAATGGGAAGGATGATCTACCATCTGGTTATTTAACATAGCCATGGTATAGATGGTCCATAGAAATATATGGTTTACCTATTAATAGCATGGTGATTTTCCATGGCAAACTGTTAAATAACCAGATGGTATATGAAATGGAAAAATAATCCAGCCATGGGGGTA